TAACCTATGTGAGGTGCTTAGAACAGCATGTAGCACACAGCAGGTGCTCAATAACTGTTAGCTATAATTAGTTAACTTGTTTATTTTTACATAATTTTTTATTTGAGAGGTCGAGACACAGAGAGTGCTCCCATCCATTATTTCACTCCCCAAATGCCCACAACACCTAGGACCAATCTAGGCCCAAGTCAGGACCCAGAAATACAATCTAGGTGTCCCACATGACTGTCAGGGACCCAATCACTTGAACCATTATCAGCTGCCTCCCAGGGTCCACATTAGCAGGAAGCAGGAGTCAGGCACTGGCACCCAGAATCAAACCCAGACACTCAGATATGGGATGTGGGCATATAAACCACTAGGGTAAACACCTACTACCCCATTACATATTTTTTAAGTGCCTATTATGTATTGAGCCCTGTGCTGTATGCTGGAGAAATGGTTCAAATCCTCTAGGGGTTCACAAATTAGTGGGAAGGTGGACAAGCCAACACACTAACAGAAGAAAGAATAAGTATGAGAAGTGCTGTGTGTGACCTGTTGTGGGGGTGGGAGTATCTATGAGGATCAGGGTGATTAAGTGACAGGAGATGAGAGGGAGAGAGGCAGGTTACAGCAAAGGGAAGGGCTTTCGCAAAAGTCCAGAGAAAAGTGAGCCTGTCACAGACAAAAGGTTCTTTCTTGTGGCTGAAGTACAGAGGGAAACCGGATGGAGCTGCAATTAGAGCAGGGGGTGGATGGTGAAGAACCTGGGCCACCAATTAAGATGTTTGGACTTTAATCCTGAGGACGATGAGGGACCACTGAAGGGTTAAGAACACTATCTGGCCGGCACCGCGGCTCACTAGGCTAATCCTCCGCCTTGCGGTGCCGGCACACCGGGTTCTAGTCCCGGTCGGGGTGCCGGATTCTGTCCCGGTTGCCCCTCTTCCAGGCCAGCTCTCTGCTGTGGCCAGGGAGTGCAGTGGAGGATGGCCCAAGTGCTTGGGCCCTGCACCCCATGGGAGACCAGGAGAAGTACCTGGCTCCTGCCATCAGATCAGCGCGGTGCGCCGGCCGCGGCGGCCATTGGAGGGTGAACCAACGGCAAAGGAAGACCTTTCTCTCTGTCTCTCTCTCTCTCTCTCTCACTGTCCACTCTGCCTGTCAAAAAAAAAAAAAAAAAAAAAAAAGGAAGTGGGGCAGCCAGCACTCAAAATGGTGCCCATATGAGATGCCAATCATAGGCAGCAGCTTTTGTGGCTACGCCACAATGCTGGCCCCAACCTGGCAGTATTAAACAACCCAAATTTATTCTCTAATAGTTCTGAGGGTCAAAAGTCGAAAATGGGTCTCACTGTTCAGAAATCCAAAATAGGTTTCTAAAATAAATGACAAGCCAGTGCCACGGCTCACTAGGCTAATTCTCCACCTTGCGGCACCAGCACACTGGGTTCTAGTCCCGGTCGGGGCGCCGGATTCTGTCCCGGTTGCCACTCTTCCAGTCCAGCTCTCTGCTGTGGCCGGGGAGTGCAGTGGAGGATGGCCCAGGTGCTTGGGCCCTGCACCCCATGGGAGACCAGGAGAAGTACCTGGCTCCTGCCATCGGAGCAGCGCAGTGCTCCTGCCGCAGCCTGCCGTGGCGGCCATTGGAGGGTGAACCAACGGCAAAAGGAACACCTTTTCTCTCTGTCTCTCTCTCTCTCACTGTCCACTCTGCCTGTCAAAAATAAATAAATAAATAAATAAATAAATAAAAATTAAAAATAAAATAAAATAAAATAAATGACAGCAGAACTTCACACTTGTCAAGGATTTTAGGGAAAATTTGTTCCCTGCCTTGCTAGCTCCAGGTGCTGCCCACACTTCCTGGCTCATGGCCCCCTCCCACCTTCAAAACTAGCAACAGGTGGTAGAGACTTTCTTATGCTTCATCACACTGTCACTGACTCTTCTGCCTCCCTCTGACACTTTTTTTTTTTTTAAGAGTTTATCTAGGGGCCGGCACCGTGGCACACTAGGTTAATCCTCCACCTGCGGCGCCGGCATTCCATATGGATGCCGGTTCAAGTCCCAGTTGCTCCTCTTACAGTCCAGCTCTCTGCTGTGGCCAGGGAAAGCAGTGGAAGATGGCCTAAGTGCTTGAGCCCCCTCACCCTCATGGGAAACCAGGAAGAAGCACCTGGCTCCTGGCTTCGCACAAATGGCACAGCTCCAGCCGTTGCAGCCATTTGGGGAGTGAACCAACAGAAGGAAGACCTTTCTCTCTCTCACTGTCTGTAACTCTACCTGTCAAATAAATAAATAAAATCTTTTAAAAAAAGAGTTTATCTATTTGAAAAGCAAAGTTAGAGAGAAGGAGAGACAGAGAGAGATCTTCCATTTGCTGTTTCACTCCCCAAATGGAGCAATGGCAAGGCTGGGAAAGGCTCAAACCAGGAGCCTAGAACTCCATCTGGGTCTCCCACACAGGTGGCAGGGACCCAAGCATTTGGGCTATCTTCTGCTACTTTCTCACGGATATTAGCAGTGAGCTGGATTAGAAGTGGGGCAGCCGGAACTCAAACCGGCACACATATGGGATGCCACTGTCAGAGGTGGACACTTAACATGCTATACTGCAACATCAGGCCTCTCCGCCACTTCTGAAGAAGTGATTGCACTGAGCCCCCCCCCCCCAGATAATCCACATTAATTTCCCTATCTTAGATCAACTGATTGGGGCCAGTGCTGTGGCATAGCGGGTAAAGTTGCCGCGTGTAGTGCCGGCATCCCATATGGGCACCACTTTGAGTCCCAGCTGTTCCACTTCCAATCCAACTCTCTGCTGTGGCCTGGGAAAGCAGTGGAAGATGGCTGAAGTCCTTGGCCCCCTGCACCTGCATGGGAGATCTGGAAGAAACTCCTGACTCCTGGCTTTGGATGGGTACAGCTCTGGCTGTTGCGGCCAATTGAGCAGTGAAGCAGCGGATGGAAGACCTCTCTCTCTTTCTGCCTCTCCTTCTCTCTCTGTGTAACTCTGACTTTCAAATAAATATATAAATCTTAAAAAAAAAAAGATCAACTGATTAACAACTTACACCCCATTTATAATTTTAATCCTCCTTTGCTATGTAATCTAACATATAGGGTTCTCTTTTGGAAGTATTGTGTCTACCATAACTTCCAAAGTTAAACTACCTTGTACAATATGAACATTCAATAATTCTTTCAATAATGTTGACATCCTGGAGTTGTTCAGCATATTTATAGACATTACACAGTCTTCTATATGCCAAAAGGTAAGTCCTGTACATTAAAAAAGAATGACCAAATAAATTACCAAGCCTTGTTTGTAGGAATTGTGGCTTAGCCTTGATCAATTGAGTTTTTTGGTTTTTTTTTGTTTTTTTTTTTTTTTTTTTTGACAGGCAGAGTGGACAGTGAGAGAGAGAGACAGAGAGAAAGGTCTTCCTTTGCCGTTGGTTCACCATCCAATGGCCACCACAGCCAGCGCGCTGCTGCCAGCACACAGCACTGATCCAAAGGCAGGAGCCAGGTGCTTCTCCTGGTCTCCCATGGGGTGCAGGGCCCAAGCACCTGGGCCATCCTCCACTGCACTCCCTGGCCACAGCAGAGAGCTGGCCTGGAAGAGGGGCAACCGGGACAGAATCCGGTGCCCCGACCGGGACTAGAACCCAGGGTGCTGGCGCCGCAGGCGGAGGATTAGCCCATTGAGCCGCGGCGCCGGCCAATCAATTGAGTTTTATCATCAAACTTTTCAGTTTCTGACAGCTTATAACAACTATATATATATATATATATACTGTCTCTTTTTGGGGAGAGTAACAATATCCTAACATCGTTATTTTTTGGCAAAACAATAAATGCTTGCACTGGAGATAGCAGAAAAGCCTGAGCATTTAAAGCTTTTAAAGATATTTAATAAAGGAAATTTTAAATTTTTAAATTTTAGTTTAAGAAAATAGAAATAGCAGTGAGGAAAAAGGCAAACTATCACTTCTAACCTTTACGCAAAAAAGAAGCAAACAAACTTGCACAGTGTTATTACACCTCAGGGAAATTTTGAATATAAAAATATCCTGCTTTTCATTTATTTTTTTCTTTTTTTACAGACACATTCAAAACAAGTTATGATTCCCTCCAGCAAAATTGCTCCATCCAGGGTTTCGCCAACCTCTCCCTTTCGAACATCAACCTCTCCCTTGCGGGTGGGCGGTAAAGCAAGAGAAAGAAAGAGGCTAGACACCTGTCCCCAGTGGAAAAAGGAAGCACACACCTGGAGAGCAGCTCAGACAAAGGGAGCCAACGGGGAAAAACAGTAATTGGAGGAGACTGTGCTTCCAATCTGCTGCTGGTTTATAAAGTAAATCTACTCTCAGGGGACAGGGATACAGTAGTAGCATACCAAAAACTGGGACAAGACAGGCTGTGCCAGATTCCATCTCCTGCAAGGCTCCACTCTCCTTCCCGGCGGTCCACCTAGCGTGGATCAAGAGGCCCTCCCGACATCACCAGGCATCCCGTGAACTTCTCATAAAAGCATGCAAGCATTCATTTATTCAGTCACTGTGCACCTAACATGCTCTACGCACTTGGGACAAAAAAATAAATAAAAAAGTATACATGGAATAGGGATGCTTAACACTTGGAATTAGTTGCTCTGGCGTTGATTTTCTGTCCCCACCCACTCACAACCGCTTCTAAGAAAGGGCTCTGTTTTGTAAGTTGCTTTTGTTTTGCTGTGTTTTGTTCTTCCCTGCCATCCTCCGGATAGAGCACAATGCCTGGCACAGACTAAGTACTTATTGAACTGAGGAGTGACTTCAGAGCGTATTTTTGATAGGAAGCTACGTTCTCAAATCTGTAGCCCCGCGGGTAGACACGATACGAATGGGACAAGCAACCTTTCCTGGCCGAGTTCAGGGCGGGGAGTCCAGGGCGGGATGCCGGAGGGCCGGGATTGCGGAGCTCCGGACCCAGGTGCTCGCTGCGCGCCCAAGCCCGCCCGCGCGCCTCACCAGCTCAATGGCCACCACGTCCCGCAGCGCCACGGCTCGCCGAATGGACTTGGGCGGGTTCTCGGTCAGGTAGATGAGACGGTCGCTGAGCACCACGTACTTGAAAGTGTGGTTCTCCGAGTCGGACACCACAACACACGGCTCGTAGGCGCGGATGGCGTCGTAGACCTCGGGCGCCAGACGCCTCCGCAGGAACGCGTCCAGGCGGCTGTTCATGCGCGCGGGGAAGCCGGACCGCGCCGGGCTGCCCATGCTCGGCGCGCGCCGGGCCAAGTGCAGGGGGCGACTGGCCCCCAGCCCCGCCCGCCTCCGCGCCACTGGCGGTGGAACCCCTGCCGCCACAAAGCCGCCCACTCCACCGCGTTTCCCCCAGGGCGCGGAAGAGCCAAAGCCAACTTCAGGGGGTTCTGCCTCCAATCTTTGTCCTAACCGCAGACAACGATGGGCGGGGCAAGACGCTGGTCCTTAGGGCTGGGCTGACGGGCAACCAGGTTAATCGCGACAGAGTGCCCTGCGAATTTAGGGGCCCTCTAGGCCCACCCCTCACCCTGCCCCAGCCCTGCCTACTCCAATTTTTGGGGACCGCTCTACCCTATACTAACTTTATCCATAAAGGAATTCAGCTTTATTGTGGTCTCTCTTTAAAATATTTGAAAATGTTTATTTATTTTTTTAAACATTTATTTATTTGAAAGTTACAGAGAGAGAGAGATTGCGAGAGATCTTCCATCTTCTGGTTCACTCCCTAGAGGGCCACATCATGGCCAGGGCTGGGCCAAGCCTAAGCCAGGAAACAGGAGCTGCTTCTAATTCTCCCATGTGGGAAATAGGGGCCCAGGCACTTGGGCCATGGTCCACTCTTTTCCCAGGCCATTAGCAGGGAGTTGGATTGGAAATGGATCAGCCAGGACATGAACCAGCACCCATAAGGGATACCAGGGTTGCAGGCAGTGGTTTTACCCACTATGCCACAAAGCTGGCCCCTATTCTGGTCTCTTAAGAGAGAAACTTGAAAGAGATGGAATTTAACAATGTATTTTGAACCCTAGAATCCTATTAAGACATAGATTTAGCATTTGATTATAACATTGTCTGGTCTACTTCTGTAGTTCTGTTAAGTTAAATGTTGGTCTTCTTTTCTCCAACTAGTTAAAAGCTCTGTGAGAGTTGGGATTCTTGCAAGTTGACTTAGACACAGTCAAGCCTACCTAAGGAATATGCTGTGTCCCCGTGCCCTGCATGATCTAGGTAGGATGAAGGAGATGGCGAGGTAGACGTCTTAAACAGCTGGAGCTGATTGGCTGAGAATGCTGATCACACGGGCATCAGACTGCAGTAGTGAAAGTAGCGCTGAGCTTTTACAGGCCAGGAGTCATTTACAAATTAGGAGAGAGATGAGAGGAACACCACAGAAACTTGGCCTAGGTGAGAGCTTCCGTTTTTATTTCAAATCCTAGAAAGTCATTCATTCCCCCTGCTTCCTTCACCCAAAGACCTGATCATGGAAAACACGGTGGTTCAGCTACATACATCCTGAATCCAATTATACATACTTTGTTGTAATTTACAGTCTCCTTTTCTTCCTATCCTACTATTGTGTACTGAATGTTATAAATAATTTCAATATACACTATTTCTTTTCTTGGAGAGACTGTATTTCGAGAGCAAGGAGAGAAGTGCCATCTGCTGGCAGAATCTTATTGACCCAGCACTTAGTGTTTTCTTAGGATCTGATCATACATCTGACCCCTCACAACTTCAACACTGGATGAAAGGAGAACACCATCCCTTATGAACTTGATTGATAAAGGAAGCCTCCTTATTTGAAGTAAAGGCGATTCCTTATCTAAAGCACTCCACAAACCAACAGAAAGGCAAAGGCCCTTCACCTCTGCAGAAGAGCCTCACCCGGGAGTGCAGCTGAGAAGCAAATGACTGTATCAGAGGTGGAAAATGAGGCTTGAGTAGGGGAAAAGCCCTCACCCCATGCTGCTGTTCTGGGTTCCCCAGGCCTCCTGCTTCACACTCACTTCACAGGACTAAGAAAAAGAATGGCTGGACCAGGACTAGAAAAGACAGATACCTGATTTATCTGCCAGGAAGCCCATCATGAATACACTTAACAAAGATTAGGATGAAGCACACAAAGAAAAATATTTGACACAGGGATTGGTGATTAAGATGATTGTAGTTAAACTGTTAACTTTGGGGCACACAGAGGGGGCAGAATCGGAGTTTCCAGGCACTCCGTGTTCTACACCACCGTTGCCAAGGTAACAGCAAAGTTCAGTCTGCCGTAAAGGGACTACATATAATGGAAAGAGCAGTAGATTTAGGAGAGCTCACTAAGAGTGCTAGCCCTGTTGCCCACTATCCGTGAGATTTTTGATAAGTGACTTAACCTTTCTGAGTCTCAGTTTCATCATCTGTAAAATTCAACTATTACTGCTTGCTCTGCTGCCCTTCAAGAGTTGGTGTAAGGATAAATGTGATGAATTATGGGCATCACAACTACATGGAGTGTTCATGTTTCCTTACCTTTTGGAAAGCTTTTCATGAATAGTTAACCCAAATGCACCAAGACAGGCACTAAGTCAAGAAGCATTTGATACAGATCCGATGCAATCAGGCACTTAACAGATGTTTCTTGATAAAACTATCAAAAGAAATTAAACATTACTTACTTGAAATTAATTCTCAAGGCACTTTCCTTGACTTTCACCAGAACAGAGCAATCTTGGGTCCATAGTTGGTTGACCAATTCAACTGTAGTAGTTGATAGTAGTTATGAGCATCGAAGGCTAAATGACCTCAGGCAAATTACTCTCCACCTCAGTTTCTCTACTTGTGAAATAGGGCTAATAGTACCAACCCCAAATGGTTATTATGAGGATTAACAAAGCTTCAAAAATATTTAGAGTAAGTACCTGGGACAGAGTAAGTGTAAGTGCTCAAAGGAAGAATCAGTTCACCAAGTCTGTGACCGCCTGTTGTAGCTGTGGTCACTCTGCCCCTCATTTACAGCCATGCCGGACTGTCCTTCACTTCATGCTGGTCTCATCTCTTTTTACTTCCAACTTGGGCTCAAAGCAAGAATCTAATCCAATGCAGAGAGAGAGAGAGACAGAAAGAGAGAGAGAGACAGAAAGAGAGAGAGAGAGAGAGAATAGCAGTTTTACTCTTTTTTTAAGTCTTTTTTTAAAGTCAATGAGTCTAAGGATCCCAAGCATTCCCATTCCCCCAATATGAAACCAAAGAAAGCATGCATAGAAGGATACTTGGGGAGCCGGTGCTGTGGCGTAGTAGGCCATCTGGGGAGTCAGCCAGGGGATGGAAGACCTCTCTCTCTCTCTCTGCCTCTGCCTCTCTGTAACTCTGCCTTTCAAATAAATAAGTAAACTTTTTTAGAAAAGGATACTTAGAATGTGTAGTAGATAAACAGAACTTAAATTTTTAAAGGTGTCCAATCAAGAAACTGGTAGCTTTGGGATCCGCAAGGAGAGAAGGCCTATACTTCTGGGAATGGAGAGTCCCTACCTGTACTTCCAGGGAAGAAAAGTCCTTGTCAAGGTCCCCCGGGTGCCTAAAGGTCAACCAATGAGGATCAGACCTGCCTCAACCTTTAACCCCCGTGCCCTTATCTATAAAAGGAGCCCTCCCAACCTCTGACGCACGATTTCCCCGCCCCCACTCTGTTGGGACCGGGAACCTCTCCCGGGAGCATAATCCCAATAAAAGCTTGTGAATTAATTGATTCATCTGCCTGGGAAGATTTGTTACACGCTGGACACCTTGCAGAAACCTCTTAGTGCTTTAACTTGCTGTTAATAGTATAGGCCTGGTGTTATGGTACAGTGGGTTAAGCTGCTGCTGCCCACAATACTGGCATCCCATATCAGTGCTGATTCCACTTCCAATTCAGCTCCCTGCTTATGTGCCTAGGAAAGCAGGAGACTGGGCCTCTGCCACCCAAATGGGAGACATGGCTCCTGGCTTCCATCTGGCCCAGCCCTGGCTGTTGTGGCCAAATGGGGATTGCACCAGCAGATGAAAGATATATCCCTGCCTCTCTGTCTCTAACTCTGCCTTTCAAATAAATAAATCTCTTAAAAATATATTAATAGGCAGTAACCATTTAAATATTTACAACAATTAGAATCTGAAGATATACAGAACAATGTCATCAAAATAAAGTCTAAGGAATCATGCAAATGATTTGAATTTTTAAAAACCTGTTTTCTTTGACTGAATAATGCTTCAATGCCCTATTCTGCCCTGCAGGCTTCCTACCACAGCACACATGCACTTCCTCTAAAAACAAAACAAAACACCATGACTGGACTAGGACCAGTAAACACAGCACAACTGACCTCTTTTCTGACTTCGTCTCTGCCAGGAAAACCATCATGAATTAGCTTTTTGTGATATTAGGTTTAACAAACATTGAGATGAAGCACATGAAAAAGAGAATCTGACATACAACTTAGTGGTTACAGGCTCACAATTATATTATTTTTGGATCAACTCAAGACATTACACAAATATTTACTGAGAAATTATTATCTCTAAGCATAAACAAAATAATACTTTCAGTATTTAAGAACTACCTAATAGGTAAGATAATCACACAACATTTAATACAAAACAAAAGCATAGTAAAATATGTTATTGACATAGGATTTAAACTTGTGAACATTAATGAAATGATCAAGCACAAAGCTGGCTGAGGAAATCTGGAACAACTTCATGAAGGAAGTAGCACTCAATAAATATTCAAAGAGGGAATGAGACAGTTTTCCTTTTATTATTGTCAAGTTACTTTGGTTTCTGATTATGTAAGTAGCACATGGTTACTGTGGAGATTTTTTTTTAATCCAAAAAATTTACAAGGAAGAAAACAAAAATCATCTGCAACCCCACTACCTAGAGATAACCATTTCAAGTGATGTATTTATATTTCCCTATTGAACTCAGTAAGTCTAGGAAAGAAGTCTTGATGGTCTAATCTAAGGGTAGAGGGGCATGTATTTGGCAGTGGTTAACATGCCTGCATCTTATATCACAGTGACTGGGTTGGAGTCACAGCTCTGCACCAGATTCTAGTTTCCCGCTAAAGTGCATCTTGGGGGGCAGCAGGTGATGGCTCAGGATGTTGGGTCTCTGCCACTCACACGGGAGACTTGGATTGAGTTCCTGGCTCCCAGCTGTAGCCTGGCCCAGATCCGGCTAGTGCGGGTATTCAGGGACTGACTCAGCAGGTAAAAGACCTCTCTGTGTTACTGCCTTACACTTATTTATTTGAAAGACATAGTGATGGAGAGAGGAGAGAGAGAGAAATATTCTGACTGCTTGTTCATTCCCGAAATGGCCACAACAGCTAGAGCTAGGCCAGGCTGAAGTCAGAAGGCAGGAATTCCATCTGGTCTCCTATGCAGGTGGCAGGGACTCAAGTATTTGAGCAACTATCTTCTGCTCTCAAGCATATTAGCAGGGAGCTGGGTCAAAAGAGGAGTAGCCAGAACTGGAACTGGCACTCTGGTATGGGATGTGGGTGTCCCAAGGGCCACCTAACCCACTGTGCCACAGTACCCATTTTACACACACACACACACACACACACACATTTTAAAAAGGGGTAGAGAAAGAAAGATATGGAATAGAACAGATGTGATAGACAATGCTATGACAAAATAGTACTGGGACACTGAACATCAAGGAGACAAAGGTGACACCGCAGACCTTGAGTTATATTGAGAGGTTCATTAAGAGGAAGTTATTTTTGGGAGGAAGATCATGACTTTGGTCTTAGTCAGTTTGGGGTGCTATAACAAACTTTCATAGCCTGGATAACTTAAATAACAATCTATTTCAAGATCCAGCATCTAGTAAGGACCTGCTTCCTGTTTTACAAATGGCTTTCTTCTCCTCGTACCTTGTACCTTCACATGGCAAAAAGAAAGATAGCTATCTCTTTAGCACTTCTTCTAAGGGCACTAATCCCATTCACGAGGGCTCTACTTCATTACTTAACTACCTCCAAAGACCTCACCTCTGAATACCATCATCTTGGGATTAGGTTCAACATATGAATTTGGGGGTACACAAACTTTCAGTCCACTGACAATATTTTAGAGTTGAGGAGCTGGTGAGACATGTAGGTATCTGGGAACGCAAGACAGTACAGAATACTGGAAGCAGAAGTATAGAACTAGAGGTCATCTTCCTAGATTAAATATTGAAACTGTGGAAAGAGGTAACTTCTGAAGGGGCAAGTGTAGACAAAAGAAAACCAGATGGCTAAGATCATAAACATGTCAAGGGAGCAGAAGTAGGCATGTGGAGAAGACAGAGAGGAGGGCTTAAAATGTAACAGGAACTTAAGAATACTATAGGGTCAGAAGCCAAGAGAGTAGAGAATTTCAAGGAGAAAGGAAATAGTCAACAGAGAAGTTGAAAGAAATGAATAAAAGTGGTCATAATGTCAGACAGTGTGTAAGAGCTCAGTAGTGATTCAGGAGAATACAGATGACAAAAGCCAAGAGAAGCAAAGGAACTGTGGGCAATAAACATGGTGTGCTGGAGACAAGAAATCGCCAATCAAGTCCAGGGTTACAGCTAACCATTTACCAGCAGGACACACTACTTATAATAGATCTACCTTGGTTTCCTCATGAAAGGACAGTGACGACAACGATGATGATACCTACTCTGTCCCTGCAATGTTAAGTGGAACGCAGTAGGAAAGATATATGGAATAACAGTATGATGAAATAAACCTAGATGTTACCTACTGGCGTTCTCTGAAATTGAAAGAAAAGGGAGATTTGGGACAGGAACATATAAAATGTTGTTTAAACAACAAAACAAGAGGGTACCAGAGTACATTATAGGACCAGGAACTGACACACTGCTGCTTTACAATGTCATCAGTCTTAACTGACCTTTATTTCAGAGACAGGGATTAGGTGCACAGACTCTGCAGGAAGGCATGGGGAACCTTTCCTCTGCCAAGTGTCATTCAGATATTTACCATTTGTGTGCCACACCAAATGATCAAATTAAAAATTAACTCGCTATAGATGTATTGAATTCTAAATCCCGCCTACGGTTGCCATGGCAGGGCTAGATCAAATAATTTCACAGGCCTTACAGGACCCCCAGGTCCGATGTTCTGTACCCCTCTTCTAGAATCAAACTATGTAGGTTTGAATCCCAGTTTGGCTGACTTCTATGCACTTCAGGTTTCTCAAGTACAAAATGGGAGTAATGTTAATAGTAACAACTCCCTAGTTGTTCTGAGAATTAATGTGTGAACTCCTAGAACAGTGTCTAGCACTCAAGAAATGCTCAAAAATGTTGACAAGTAATACATAAAAGCACTGCCACATGCAAACATCCATGCCTTATGTTAAAATAGCAACAGTGGCATATATCAAAACTTTGACAACTGGCATTTTATGTTAATCTGAGATGAGAAACTGTACATTCCTTCATGGGACTGGACAGAATATGGAATGATCAAATTTAATACCTTTTTTAGATCCTCTTTGGTTGTATTCCACCAAGTAGTTCCTTATTCGTTCCGAAATAACGTGAGCTTACAAAATTGAAAGGCTTTCTTTTCTTTTTAAAAAAGATTTATTTATTTATTTGACAGTCAAAGTCAAGAAAGAAAGGGAGAGACAGAGAGAGGTCTTCCATCCACTGGTTCACTCCCCAAATGGCCACAATGGCCAGGCCTGGGCCAGGCCCAAGCCAGGCCCAAGCCAGGAGCTTCTTCCAGGCCTCCCACGTGGATGCAGGGACCCTAATACTTGGGCCATCTTCCACTGTTTTACCCAGGCCATTAGCAGGGAGCTGGATCATAAATGGAGCAGTTGGAACATGAACCGGATAAGGACACTGGTGCCACAGGCAGCAGCTTTATCTGCTGTGCCACAACACCGGCCCCAACTGAAAGATATTTACAATCCTAGGTATTTGAACTACCATGAAGGAAAGGCCAGTCACCAAATTATAGATAAGCTACAGATACTAGATAAGCTATATAAACTTTGTATGATATTTAACATATGAAGTATGTATAAAATCCATGTACAAAGTAAAAAAAAAAAGGCAAGGAAATCCAGTTACAAAACAACATAGTGAATTCTTTTAAGATGAGACAGTGAAATATGCTAAACATATCACACAATGCAAAGCCACTTGAACCAGGATTATTACCGAGCTTCCACAGTCCATAGCTGACCATCACAGCTAATGGAATAATTCATGCAACTCATTTATTGAGTTGTAACTACAGATTGGCACCGGTGTTGGCTCTAAGGGATACACTGAAACACACAGGACAGGAATCCTAGCCCAACATTTTAAACAGTAAGTTAGACATGTGATGCAAAAGTGATTAAAAATATTTTATATATGAGTTGCCTAATGCAGTATCATGCACACGGGATGACTAAATAAATGTAGTTGTAACATTAGTTTTATTCCATTTCTCTCCCTTCCAATTCATACTGTATAGTCAACAATGAGACCTAGAGACTGAGCATTACAGTGTGCCAAACACGTGCATTAGCTCAATTCTCACAGCTCTTGGAACCTGGAACTGAGAAGACCTCAAAAGGTTTGTGTAAAACAGAAGGTTTATTTTGGTGCAAAAGTTTTTTGAAATCCACGCATACTCCCTTCACTAGTACCCCCATTTTAGATATGCAAGTTAAGGAATGCGCCTAAGGGCAACTATGAGGCGGGGCCTGGGACTCAATTCCGTGGAGCTGGAGACTCAGTACCTCTGCGCTGCACTAACATATTAAAAAACTGGACATTTGGTGCCACCAAGAGAACTTAGGAGTCGGGCTTCCTAGGAGTACTCTGCTCCCTTCCCCGTACAATTTAAAACGACGTGCAAAACTTGTCAGCACTCAGCGGATGCTCACACCCCTGAACTCGGGTCACGTGGGACCACACGAAAGGAATTAAACTTCTGCCTCACACGTGATTTGAACCACGTCGCCGACGTTTCCGAAACTCTGTTCTCTAACCTACCAACTGCTGCACGAAGCCTTCACCGAACGCTCGGAGACAACCGGACCGCACGGCTCAAAGGCCTGCCAGGACCCGGGAAGAGCCCTGAGCGTCTCGGGGCCAGATGCTTCGTCCCGGCATGCACCACACAGGCCCGGGCGACCACGCCGCCCGGAAGCGCCGCCTGCCCGTTGCATGCTGGGAGTTGTAGGCCCCCGGCCGCAGCCCGCGGGCGGCCGTCTGTACTCTCCATGAGGCTGCTGGCGCTAGCCCGCGCGGCACCGACGCGGGGAGCGCGCCTCGCGCTGACTCAGCGGCAGCGGCGGCGTTAGCCGGCCCTCGCGCTCTTTCCTTTCCTGGGGCGCCGACCCCGCCCGCCTGCTCGCTGGCTTGCCTGCCCCGCGCCACGCAGGAGAAGGCGACAGGGTACGCGACGCGGTGAGAGGCGCGCGGCCGGCTCGGTCCCCGGCGTTGGCTCTGCTGTCGTGGCGGAGGACTACGGCGACAAGGACGAGGGCCGCTTTCCCTGCGCCCTGCGTGCAGCGCCGCTCCGCTCGGCTCACCGGCCCTGGGCAGTGCAGGCGGACTGGCGAGATGGAGTGATAGGGAAGGTGACTTGGGGCTCGGGGGGCAGTGGGACATGGCTCCGACTGGGTCCGCGCGTGGCTGCGAGGAAGTTGGCCAGGGCGGCCCGGCCCGGGGGAGCCCCGACGCCTGGGAGGGGTGCAGGCCGGGGACCCTCCATGGCGGTGCTGCTTGGGGCCGGGCGGACCAGGTGGGGGCGGGTACGAGCCGTGGCCGCCCGAGGCCGGCTGTTTCATCACCCGAGTTGCCACGAGGCTTCCTTTTGGGGAGAGATCCAGGGAACGGATGAAGACCAGGCCTGCCGACGAGGGTCGGCATCGCCTGTGGCCCCCACCCCAATCATGGTAGTTGGAGCCTGTCCCGCCCATTTCAACGCAAAGACCTCAAACTTGATAAGGTCCTCCCGCCCGCTCTGGGGGAAAGGAGGTAAAGGGTTTTTTCTGCGTAGTAATTTGCCAGCAGGACGCTCCATATCTTCTGCTCCCTTCCTCCCAGTCCTGCAAGAGGAGAGAAGCGTGATGCTTCCCCGTAACCAGAAAAACGAGTACTTTTTGAGAGCGCTAATTAGTGGTTACTGGGGGAAGTTGCGTTTTATGAAAGCGACTTGGCATGGTGTTAAAAGGCTGGAACGATGAACGCCTGGCTTTTGAACCGGTCTTCGGTGGGTGTGGAGGAATTTTCCCGAACTGTTGGATGCCCAGTAGCCGTCCAGAAAAAAAAAAAAAAAGTTAGGGCTTAGTAGTTGTGTTGCTGGCCTGCACCTCGGAGAGGTGCCCGATTGAGACCACGCTGTTAACCGGTGTTAGCGGCTGCACAGCCAGGTGTGGCGGTCGAGGGTAGGTGCTCCTGCATAGCCTTGTCTGGGAAGCTTGTCGCTCCTTCTCGCCAAGTGCAGCTTGGCGGTTGTTGGCGCACATGTAGGTGATTGACCACGTTCCGTTGCCTGTGGTTATCCAGGTGCCTTTCCTGTGGCGATTGCTGTGGAACGGACAACTGTAACGAGTTTGTTTCCTTACTTTGTTTATTGGCTGAGTTTTCCTTAGCACCACTGTTAAGTTTCGGGGTGCTTGGATCAAGTCCAGCAGTTTTCCCTAAAGCCTTGGCAAATGCAAGGAAGCTCTTCCAGGAATTTTCAATCTGGTGCTCATGGAAGCTCTGAAATTGTCGTCTTGTCGTTTTTGGACAAGAGAACTTGCCTTTTCCCCTCCTACGTCCCCCCCCCCCCCTATCAAAATGCTCATCTAGAATGTCTGAGTACTTCCTGTCCCCCTTGTGCCTACCTTGGGTTATAAATCACCTACTGAGGTTCCACTGTGTACTAGGCCTGCTGTGCATACCTTATCTCATTGAAGCATTTACCAGATGACCAGATGGTCTGTTTCCCATTTCATAGTAAGGGCTGTCTCTCTCACATTTTGTTAAGTTGTCCACATGGCCTCAGTTTAAACATGACAAGACTGGAATACAAGCCCGGGTCTTTCCAAGTCCAAAACTAGTGTTCTGCTTCCCAGGGACAGTGATGAATATTCAAGGCAGTCATTGTCCTTAAAGTTAATGAGAGAAAACTGGTAAACCGGCAGTGACCACGCAGAGGTGCTTAGGAGGGGGTATCTAATCCAATTAGGGAGGCTTGGACAATACGGGTCAAAGTAGTATTCTTGAAAGTGGTGACCTTTAAGTTGAATTTTGAAGGACAAGCAGGGGTTAACCAAGTAACAAAAAGAGCAGTGAGTGTGTGCAAAGATGAAAGGCAGAATACCCCTGGAGAAGGGCCATGTGGTTGGGCATCACTGGCCGTCCTGATTTGGGCTGCAGAATGTCGAGTTTCTCTGAAGTGTCCCGAGGTCAGTGGGGAGTTACACTGCCTTGCTGTGGTCTGCAGGTATGCTGTAAACCCTAAGGGGCTGAGCTTCCTGATCCAAGGGGCTCAGCCCACACCCTGATTTACCATTTTTCTAGCAGGCTCAGGGTAAGCAAGAAGAGCACATTGTGAGACAGGCCATGTTGTGTAGATCTAATCCTGGCCTCACCATTCCTAAAAGACCCTCTCCCCCCTACCTCCCACTCAGGCTCTTGGCTTCTTGAGGTTCTCTTTGGGTAATTTACAGAACCGCCCCCCAGCCTTATTGGGAATAGTAAGGCCTGGTCTCTTGTACCTTATAGGAATTAATGCAATTTTCACATCATTTAGGGTTTTCTCAAATTAATATACATTCTTTGAAACCATAAACTGCCTTTGGGGGGCTTATCATGTTCTGTTAGACCCTATATTGTGAAGAAGTAAATTATTTCTCAGAGTTTAAAAAAAGTTTTTAAAAGTAGTAACAAGTCATTTTTGAATTTTTGCATCTACTATTAAAAAAGAATGTTTAAAAGGCATTTCTAGAATTGCTGGCAAGAGCAGAGATCTGTAAAAGGCAGAACTAGTCCATTGTTCATAAGCCAAATGACTGATTTTTCACTCTCCTACTCCTTTTATTTGACTTCTGTTGTATTTTGTAAACACTCCAGTACAGATATTGAACTCTGAGGTCAGTCATTCTCATTTAAAAAAAAAAAAAAGATTTGTGATGTTGGCATCTGGAAATAACTACAATAAGATAATCTGGGCTTGTCATTTCTCTACTTAATACAGTTGCACTTAAGAAGTAACAACAGTGCATAAATTAGATGCCTCTGTTATTTAAAGTAGAAAATAGTTACTTTCTGTACTTTATTGAAGATTTTGAAGAAAAAGAAAACTTGAACACCTGAATTGCACACCACTTTAGATTTTTATAACTTTCTTTTTTGTGGAGTACTTAACAGGACCCATTCTTCTGAGACTTAAAGTGTCTTTCAGTTGTTATTTGGATAAGTTTCCAAAGAAGTCTTTTAAACACTTAAGCCTTGTTATACAATTTCATCCACTTGTTACAGTATTCTAGATAAGCACTTATTTTTTTATCAAGTATTGTTTACTGTCAACTTTGTTTTCGTGTGCAGATGTTTATGGATTCTTCTCTGGGATCAGAGGGCACGCCTGTTGTAATCAGGAAACTCCAAGTATAGCAGCAGGGATGGATGAACAGGCTCTGTTAGGGCTAAATCCAAATGCTGATTCAGACTTCAGACAAAGGGTAAGTCGCTTTGCTTAATGATTTTTGAAAGCATGCTTCTACCGATTTGCGCTAGGGGACTTGAATAAAAACTACATCTGATGACGAAGATCTAATTTAGGGAGAAGTGGCTTGAAACAAATTAGAGGTGAGTATAACCTGAAAGTTTGTGATTTTCTATTTAGTTGGTTGAACAGAAGTATTAAAATCTCATGTGCTTAAAGGTAGATCTTTATGCAACATTAATCGTTATTTCTAATTATTTAAAAGTAGTAATGCAGAGGATTGTTCAAAGGAATTTCCATCTGGTACACATGCATATTTATTTTCATGTTGCTTGACTTGCTCTGTAGAAGTTGTTTAACCCCTGTGTTAGTGTTAATTAACATCTGTGTTGTTTAGTCCAGACAGACATACAGATAAGCAGTTAGGACGAGGCATGTCTTAAACTATACAGAATGATTATGTGACAGGGAATCTATTATGTGGTACTAGGATATGTGGGTAAATGTAAACAATTAACTATAATGTATCCTACAACTATTATCATAACTATAGCTGAACTATAAAAAGAATCTAAAGAACAAACCTATAATTAATTTTCTGAAAGACATGGATGTTCTGAAGTGTGGAAGTGGAAAAAGAGGCATTTTCTATTTCTCATAGCAAAAATTTTTTTTAAATGAGCTAAACAAGGTTAACAATCTAACTTCATACAGAATCACAAGTCCAGAACCTTTCATATTCCTGATGGCTATAAAATTAAGGGCTCTTGGTACTCCTTCCTCATGGTTGATAATTTGCTAGTATGGCCAACAGAACTCAGGAGAAGTTTACTTACTATTTCCAGTTTGTTATGAAGGATACAACTCTGGAACAGCTGATTGGAAAAGGCACAAGGTAGGGCAGTATAGGAAGGGACACAGAGCTTTTCTTGCCCACTCCTTTTTTTTAAAGATTTATTTATTTATTTGAAAGGCAAAGAGAGAGATCTTCCATCTGCTGGTTTACTTCCCAAATGACTACAACGGCCAGGGTTGGTCTGAAGCCAGGAGCTTCGAGCTTCTTTCAGGTCTACAACATGGGTTTAGGGGCCCAAACACTTGGATCATCCTCAGCTGCTTTCCCAGGCATGTTAGCAGGAAGCTGGATTGGAAGTGGAGCAGCCAGGACTCAAACTGGCACCCATCTGTGATTCTAGCATCTCAGGCTGTGGCTTTTTACCCAGTATACCACAGTGCTGGCCCCCCTGCCAGCTCTGAGACACCACCCTCCCAGCAACCAGAAAGTTGAAGAGTTCTTATAGAGCTCAGTCTCCAGGCCCCTCTTGCTAGAGGTTGGTGGTTGGGACTGGAAGTTCAGCCCTCTTGATTACTTGGTCCTTGTAATAAATGGCTTTCTAAAAGCCCCATAAGTTATCACATTTACTTATTAAGCTTTGGTGTAATCCAAAGGGCTCATTGTAAATAACAAAAGACAGTCCTGTCACTCAGAGGATTCTGTACTTGATGGGACTGTGCAAACCTTAAATATATTTCTTATGCCACATTTATACTTAAAATAATGTTTGATGATCTTCATACATAAGATCCCCTTTATTTACCTAGTTCTCTATCAGTGGGAACAACCATTGAGAAAACATTTCAAAACGCATTCCCTCATTCATACAACTGCATGATACAAGAAACTATCACCCAAGTATAAAATGTGGTGACTGTTACCTCAAAGAGAAGAATAATTTTACACCTTGACCTGATTTATACGTCTTTATATACATACATAACTACAGCATGTTAAATAAGTTATTATTGCTAGATGAATTTTGCTCTGATACCCTCTATTCTGTTCATTGGTTAAATTACCGATTAAGACCACTAAATGGATTACATCACTCACTAATGGGACCCACCACAGTTTAAGAATATTCACTCTTTGAAATTAGGTTCTTCTACCTTGTGTCGAGATTTATATAAGCACATGATGGTTTTAAGTAATCTAGTAGTGTTTCTAACGGTTGTATAGTTTTCTTGGCTGTTTGTGATGCTTCTCACAAGTTGTTGAGGTCGTTTTGCCATTTGTACATTGTCACATGTGAAGCTTGCATGTGGTGTAACATGTTGGTGGAAAAGGGTGGCAGAAGCAACTCCCTTCATCACAACAGTGTGGTGGAGGGTGTGTGGACTCCTGCAGCATCCTTTTGAGAGTACACTTGCTGTTTGTTGGCATATAGTCTTCTGATTACAAGGCCCTGAATTCATGAACAGGGGGTGAGAAATGTTTCCTAAACTTTTATCGCTCTTTGATAACTTTCCCAGAACTCATATTGTGGAATTTACTCCAATGTTAATTTGTTTTTTTCAGGGAACTAATATGATACACTTTAAGAATTGAAATACTCTTTTATGTATTAGTAGATCGCATAATGTGCACAATGTTTATCTCTTATAATGATCCTCTTTAATAGCAAATTTGCAATTGGAGAAGCATTCTTCATAATATAATTTTATAATGCATATATCTCAGTAGTGAGGCACTTGACACAGCACTTGTACATTTTCTCTGTCTTCATAACCCAGTGAAGTCTGCAGGGTATTTTTGTGTTTTTTCCTTTGCAGTAAGGAAATGGAAGTTTGAGTTATGATATAATTTGCCTTTCATACCTGTTTTTTGGAGTGATCCCTAAATTGCACATTTTTAGAAGCCTGAATTTTGTGTTTTAACTATTTTTCTGTTAAACTCACTGATTTGCTACTCCCAGAATATTTTGTTTAGTATTAGCCGGGTATTGCAGTTGACTGTTCAAGTAATTTTTTTTCCTTAATTCTTTCAGGCTCTGGCCTATTTTGAGCAGTTAAAGATTTCCCCAGATGCCTGGCAGGCGTGTGCAGAAGCTCTAGCCCAGAGGACCTACAGGTAATTGAAATAAAATTTGTATGATTGTTAGAAGAATTTAAATTTCTGTGAACATGGCAGGACTATTAAGTTTACCTGTATTTGGGAAGTGTTTTCATAAAAAAATTTTTATGCCTTGCCTTTTGGAAAGTTATTCACTCAGTATAGAAATGAGGAAAGTAGTGAACCAATAATTTTACCATTCTGGAATTGACTTTAAAACCAGCTGTTGCCAGCGTTCTTTAGTTGTCAGCAGATTGGAATAGAGTATAGTAAAAACTCCTCCTCCTGCTAAGGAGCAAGATGATGTGTATCCATTTTTAGTTTTAACTTAAAAGAGCATTCAGTTATGTCTGTCAAGATTGGACCAATGCTTTTTCTCTATCTGTACCACAAGCATTCTCTAACTTCTTGTGCTGATCACATTCATGATCCGTCCCCTACAGTTTCCAACTGGATCATTATAGTAGGAAGAATGAGGAAGAATGAGTAGTCTTAGATTTTTTAGATACTTGTCCCTGTCTGTAAAGTCTTACACTCATATCATGTGTATCAGATATGTATAAGTTTTTTCCTCTACAGTGTAGCTTTCTGTGAATTCTTTCTAAAATATTTGGTTTAGACATAAATAGGAACTATTTTATAGTCATTTAATATCAGGTTTATATAATATAACACGGTTTTCTTTTTTAAAGATTTTATTTATTTGAGAGGTAGAGTTACAGAGAATGAGAGGTAGAGATAGAAATGTCTTCTATCTGCTGGTTCACTCCCCAGATGGTCAATTCAAAGCCAGGAGCCAGGTGCTTCTTCCTGGTCTCCTGTGCGGGTGCAGGGGCTCAAGCACTTGGGCCATCTTCCACTGCTTTCCCAGGCCATAGCAGAGAACTGGAAGAGGGGAAGAGGGGAAGCCAGGTCTAGACCCAGCGTCCGTATAGGATGCTGGTGCCACAGGAGGAGGATTAACCTACTGTGCCACAGAGCGGGCCCCATAACATGGTTTTTTTTAAAGATTTATTTATTCATTTTTGAAAGGAAGAAATAGGAGAGAGAGAGAGATCTTCCACCCGCTGGTTCACTCCCCAAATGACCACAATGACCAGGGCTGGGTCAAGCCAAAGCCAAGCCAGGAGCCTATTCCTAGTCTCCAACATGGGTGCAGGGACCCAAGTGCTTGGGCCATCTTCCGCCACTTCTCAAGGTGCATTAACAGGAAGATGGATTGGAAGTGGAGCAGCCAGGACTTGAACTGCTGCCCATATGCGATGCCTATACTGCAGGCAGAGACTTAGCCTTCTAACCACAGCACAGGTCCAATATAATATTTCTTTCTTCTTCTTTTTTTTTTTAAGATTTACTTATTTATTTGAGAAGCAGAGGCAGAGAGAATGAGAGGTCTTCCATCTGCTGGTTAACTCCCCAGATGGTCACAATGGCCAGAGCTGCACCAATTCAAAGCCAGGAGTCTGAAACTTCTTCCGGGTCTCCCACACAGGTGCAGAGGCCCAAGGACTTGGGCCATCTTCTGCTGCTTTCCCCAGCCAAAGCAGAGAGCTGGATCACAACAGGACTCAAACCAGTGCCCACATGGATGCTGGCACTGCAGGCGGCAGCCCTACCCTCTAAGCCACAGCACCAGTCCCCCAACATAGTATTTCTAAGTAACACGAATGGCTTAGTCTTCTATACCACAGTGCTGGCCCAACATAGTATTTATAAATAACACATATTTATAAGTAATAATATATTTCTTTTTTTTTTTTTTTTTTTTTTTTTTGACAGGCAGAGTGGACAGTGAGAGAGAGAGACAGAGAGAAAGGTCTTCCTTTGCCGTTGGTTCACCCTCCAATGGCCACCGCGGTCGGCGCGCTGCGGCCGGCGCACCGCGCTGATCCGATGGCAGGAGCCAGGAGCCAGGTGCTTTTCCTGGTCTCCCATGGGGTGCAGGGCCCAAGCACCTGGGCCATCCTCCACTGCACTCCCTGGCCACAGCAGAGGGCTGGCCTGGAAGAGGGGCAACCGGGACAGAATCCGGCGTCCCGACCAGGACTAGAACCCGGTGTGCCGGCGCCGCTAGGCGGAGGATTAGCCTAGTGAGCCGCGGCGCCGGCCAGTAATAATATATTTCTACATAATATTAAATTGTTTTCTTATAAAGTAGAAGTGTCAAAGTGAGGGTTGGGGAAAACCGACATGCAGTAAACAACATGGGGTTAGCCATGCCCTCCTGACTGGAATTCTCCATGCACATATTATTGGTCAGTGTTTTATACATGAAACAGCTGCTGGAGTTTAGTGAGAGTTGGTTTTGAGAACATCTGCTGTATGTTGTTAGAGTAAATAAGAGCTGGCTTTTAATTAAAGCATCCTATAGTCATTTTTTTTATGTTTATTTTCATCTACTTAAGAGGCAGAGCAACAGAGAGGGAGACAGAGATTGTCACCAACTGGTTCACTCTTCAGATGCCCACAATAGCCAGGGATGAGCCAAAGCCAAGAGCCAGGACTCATCTCAGTCTCCCACATGGGTGACAGGGGCCTGAGCACTTGAGCCATCATCTGCTGCCTCCCAGGATGCATTAGCATCAACCTGCAACGGAAGCTAGGTAGCCCAAACTCAAACCAGCACTCCAAAGAGGGATGCAGACCTCTGAAGTAATAGCTAACTTGCCATACCATAGCACCTGCCCCTACTTTATTTTTTGAGTTGAAAATCGAAGTCAGGATGGCCCAAGGGTCCCTGCACCCTCATGGGAGACCAGGAGGAAGTGCCTGGCTCCTGACTTCAGATCGGTGCAACACTGGCCGTAGTGGCCATTAGGGGAGTGAACCAACAGAAGGAAGACCTTTCTCTCTGTCTCTCTCTCACTGTCTAACTCTGCGTGGCAAAAAAAAAAACAAAAACAAAAAAACGAAGTCATGTTAAGCCTTTGGTGTCAACCATAATAAAAATGGAAATCCTTATGTTTCTGAAGATATGCTAATTAAACCTAACTTTAGAAGTTCTAAAAATTAATATCCATATTATGTATGAAATTGTTTGTTTAATTTATCTAAATTAAGATGAGGTCCCCAAGGCTGGTGCTGTGGGACAGTGGGTTAAAGCCTCGGCCTGCATCACTGGCATCTCGTGTGGGTGCCTATTTGAGTCCTGGCTGCTCCACTTCCCATACAGCTCTCTGCTATGGCCTGGGAAAGCAGTAGAAGATGGCCCCCAAGTCCTTGCACCTATGCACCCACATGGGCAGACCCAGAGGAAGCTCCTGGCTCTTGACTTCAGATCTGCGCAGCCAGCTGGGGAGTGAGCCAGAGGATGGAAGACCTCTCTCTCTCTCTCTCTCTCTCTGCCTCTGCCTCTCCTATTCTCTCTGTATAACTCTGACTTTCAAATAAATCTTTAAAAAAAAAATAAAAGATGAGGTCTCCATTCTTATATGGACCAGTTACCTCTGCATTGGAAAATATGTTCCATGACTGAGCCTGGCCCTATCCGGTTGTCTTGGATGAGCAGATTATCGGCCTGTGAAGGGACTTTGTCATTTATAGCTAGTTAACTGCAAGCCTTCACCGCCTCTCTGGAGACAGCTGGAAGTAGATAATTGGTAGCCTTTAATTTTTGCTCCTGTTCTATATAAAGTCAATGTCATTGTAATTTAGTTTTTTTATATGAGCTGATGTCCTCAGGGTGGGAGTGGCAGTCCATGTAGCTCTGCTTAATTTTTTATTTGACTGCCATAGAATTGACTAGGGTTGAATTTTAAGTAGAACTGGGATGACCATCTCTAATTTGACTTCAGCTGACTCTTCTACCGTTTGTCATTTTATACGTAACCTTTCTGTTGTGAAATACAGGCATTGGCCTAGGAATCCTAACATCTAGGTTTTAGGGGCAGTGCCTTCTGTTTACAAAGCTCTGTATTTAAGGTGCATACTAATTTATTTATTTTTTTGGTTATTTTGCTTGGCATATTTCATGGAAATATTGCATATTCAATAATATATTTTTCTTAGCTTTTTAAACAAGAATTTTAATATTATAAAATGAGATTGCTTAGCAGAAAGCAAGACAGACTCTAATTTGCGAAACTTCAGTTATATTATTCATTAATATTTTGCCTTTGATATGTTTCCCCAAATTCATATTCTACCTACCTAATTTTCTTGTTTTGTTTTTTAGTGATGATCACATAAAGTTTTTCTGCTTCCAAGTACTAGAACATCAAGTTAAATACAAGTAAGGCTTTCTCATTATTTTGACTCAGATTTGTGGGGAGAAGCTTTTCTTTAATTTTTCATTCTTTGAAGAAACCATAACACCAAGGTATAAATTCACCTTGCACATGTCAGTTCCATCCAGGTTGCACGGATGTGTTTTGATTGATCCCAAAGTGTGTAAAAAACAATGAGTTAGTTGATTACATATTAAAAATCCAGACATTTCTGTTTTTGAAAAATCAGAAGGTCCAGCAACACCAGGCCTAAAACTCTACCTACCAGCTTCTAACAGAGCTGAGCGGAGCATGGGCACTTGTTTTCAGACGACTGCTTTAATCAAGGACAAACAGTGAAATGCTGCTGTGAGGACCCTCGGTTTTTCACTATTCTGTAGACCACAGACCTTAGGACGTGGATCTATCCCTGTTGGAAACATTATGTAGCTGTCGTTTCAACATGAACTGAACCATGAAACAAGGGAAGCTTGGTGTTGATTCCCTTCCTGCTGCTCCTGTCCCTGATGAGAGGCACTAGCAGTTTATTTTAGGAAACTATAGATAATTGATTGCTATACAAATTTTTCCTTTCAAATCTGTAAAAAAGCTGTTAATTTTCAAAATACAGATACCACTTATAGCCATTATTATTTTTCTTCTCTATTTTGAACAGATATTCAGAACTAACCACTGTTCAACAACAACTAATTAGGGAGACGCTCATATCTTGGCTTCAAACTCAGGTAAAATAGTAATTTTATGCAGTACATCAAATTACCAGATACTTACACTTTTATATTTGCACTAGAGTTTACAACATTACCTCAGAGATTTTTGTCATTTTTTCTCAATTTGATCCTATAGCTTTTTTTTTTCTGAAGTGCTAATTTTGAAGATAGGTGGAAACAGTAGTTTAAAATTATATTGATAACCAAAGCTGTCATAGTTTCCATAACACATTGTGGAAAAACTGGTTTTAAAATATAATTTTCTTTTTCACTCCTTGACAAAAGCTCATTTGCTGTTCACCTCTCTAAGGTGAGCTCTGTTAGCATCACGGGAGCCTTTTTGAAAGGACAGTAGAATTCTTTATTTCACAGTACGTTCTTTTAGAAAATTTTAACTAATATAAACCTATAAAACAATTGCTAGAAATTTTATTTTCCTTGAAGATCAAACTTACAATTTTTCTTCTTAGAAGAAATTATAAAAACTATCAAAATGCTACACAACTTTAAGAATGAGAAGTAACCATCAGAACCTTAGTTCCTTTGATTGTTCCTAGGCAGTCACTTAAATACTTAGATAGTTTTGAAATAATCTACTGCATAGTAATCTGGACCATACTGAAGTTTGGTGGGGTTTTGCCTATCAATGATAAATAGGAAAATAAAATGTGTTTCGAGTCTTTGCAATTTACATTTAATTTCATGGAATATTTCTTTGTCAGATGCTGAATCCCCAACCAGAGAAGACCTTTATACGAAATAAAGCAGCCCAAGTCTTCGCCTTGCTTTTCGTTACAGAGTATCTTACTAAATGGCCCAAGTTTTTTTTTGACATTCTCTCTGTTGTGGACCTAAATCCAAGAGGAGTCGATCTGTACCTCCGAATCCTCATGGCTATTGACTCAGAGTTGGTGGATCGTGACGTGGTACATACATCTGAGGCAAGTAGTCTCCCATTAATGTTCAGTTTTTAGTATAGATTTTGTAGGAAATACAATGAAAGAAGGAAAGAATTTTTTGCCTTTGGAGACAGACTTTTTTTTTAGATTTATTTATTTAGTTGAAAGGCAGAATTACTTAGAGAGTCAGAGACAGAGATCTTCCATCCGCTGGTTCACTCCCCAAATGGTCACAATGGCTGAAGCCAGGCCATTCCAAAGCCAGGAGAAGAAGTTTCTTCCAGGTCTCCAGTGCAGATGCAGGGGCCCAAGTACTTGGACCATACTCTGCTGCTTTCTCAGGCACATTAGCAGGGAGCTGAATCGGAAGTGGAGTGGCTGGAACTCAAACCAGTGTCCAAATGGAATGCCAGCATTGCAGACATGGGCTTTACTTGCTGTGCCACAGCACCAGGCCCTGGAGACAGACTTTGTTAAAAAATAATTATGGGAGCTAATGCTGTGGTGTAGTGGGTAAAGCCGGCACCTGCAGTGCTGGCATTCCATAAGTGCTCCGGTTCGAGTCCCGGCTGCTCCACTTCCAATCCAGTTCTCTGCTATGTCCTGGGAAAACAACAGAAGATGGCCCAAGTTCTTGGGCCCCTGCACCCATGTGGGAGACCCAGAAAAAGGTCCTGGCTCCTGGCTTTGAATCATCACATCTCTGGCCATTGTAGCCATTAGAGGAGTGAACCAGCGGTTGGAAGACCTTTATCTCTGTCTCTACCCTGCCTTTCAAATAAATAAACAAATCTTAAAAAAAATAAAAAAGAATAATTATGGGCTGTGTTGTATGTGAGGCTATTGCCTGCAGTACTGGCATCCCATATGGGTGCTGGTTTGAGTCCTGGCTGCTCTGTCTACTTCCAATCCAGCTCCCTACTAATGTGCCTGGAAAAGCATCAGAAAGATGGCCCAAGTCCCTGAGCCTCTGCACTCACAGAGGAGACTAAGATGCTCCTGGTTTCTGGCTTCAGTCTAGCCCAGCCCTGGCCATTGCTGCCATCTGGGGAGTGAACCAGTGGATGAAAGGAAGGTTGTTTTCTCGGTCTCTCCCCCTCTCTCTGTCACTCGTAACTCTGCCTTTCAAATCTTTTTTTTTTTTTTAAGGAATAATTATGAATATACCCAGTGTTCTGAATTTTGTTTTACAAAGGGACTTGTATTTCATTTTTTTTAAAGTAGGTAAATTTTTTTCAGTGAAGTACAGATTAATTTTCTCCTATGAATTTGTTGGAAAATATGGCCTGTGTAATTAATACTCCTGGCTACACAGTCTTAAAGAAGTTCATAGAAAATGAATATTATGAAAACACTAAACATGGATTTCAGCATTTTCGCCCCCAAATACAAACATCTTCAAGCTTTCCACTGACTTTCAGAAGTGTCCTCATATTGTTCCTAAGCAAGGAAGAAGCATTTCTTCTGTCAAACAGTAACCACTGCTGTCTGCTTCTGAATTCTCAGCCCTGTAGTCCATCACCCTGGGATTTTTCTAGTTGTTCATTAATGTGTATACCTTTCTCCTTATTCTTAAAGGATACAATAGGAAAGGCTTCAAATGTGTATAATAATTTCAAGTTGTTATAATGAAGCTGTATCTGTAATATTTAGTATATTTATAAATGTAACTTTAAAGGGTACTATGCATTTAAGTTATTGCCATTTTCTAAATTGTTTGGGTACCATGTTTATATAATATTGAGAAATAATTTATACATGCTTAAGATTTCTAAGCAATGCTTACTTATGGTTTGTATTTAGTAAGAAATTAAGTCTGGCACCAAAGTAGAAACTGAAAGAGGAAGCACAAAGAATCACAGGATGTGATTTTAGAGCTGATAAATAGGAAATAGTGGCAAGGAATGTGTTAACAATCTGGGAGTTTTAATGTCAAGGAAATTACTGTGTGCAACTCTATTCAGATGACATTTATTTGGTATTTTGTTTTTTAGGAGGCTCGTAGGAATACTCTAATAAAAGATACCATGAGGGAACAGTGCATTCCAAACCTAGTGGAATCATGGTACCAAATCTTACAAAATTATCAGTATACTAATTCAGAAGTGACATGTCAGTGCCTTGAAGTAGTTGGGGCTTATGTCTCTTGGATAGACTTATCCCTTATAGCCAATGATAGGTAAGTGTGTCTATAATGTGTTTCAGTATAAACCTCTATAACATAGTATCTAAAACTTCATGAATTTAAAAATAACAGTTGTATTTGCCCATTACCAGGTTTATAAATATGCTGCTAGGTCATATGTCAATAGAAGTTCTACGGGAAGAAGCATGTGACTGTTTATTTGAAATTGTAAATAAAGGAATGGACCCTGTTGATAAAATGAAACTAGTAGAATCTTTGTGTCAAGTATTACAGTCTGCTGGGTTTTTCAGCATTGACCAGGTTAGTAAATTGTTACATAAAGTTTTTAAAGTTTTAGGAAACATTAGGTTAGGTAGTAAGTTAAATATAGTCACTTTTGATTTTTCTTCTACATGTTGGAAACTCTCAAGATTATAATAACAAGCCACTGTTCCCAGAAAACTGTAATGTTATCTGTAATATTTGCCTTAAACAATAGATTATGCCAGTTCTTAACTTGCAGGTCTGGAACTTTGCTTATAATTCTGCATTTCCTACAAACTTCTAGGTGAGACTGACACTACTAATCCCTGACAGTAAATTTAGTAGCAAAGGACTGTACTATTTACATGATCGTGCATTTTGACCAACATTAGACTTGGTAATAGTTTAATATTGCAATTGCATCATTCTTTAGAATGTGAATTTGTTTGTGCTGCTAGAGTTTAGCTAGCCCCAATAGAGTACTGCCTTTAACTGTGGTTAAGTTAGTAATTTAGAAAGATAATTTGAAGATTTTTATTTTACTTCCAGCCATGACAGATGAAGAATTCCTAAGATATCTTTGTATTGCTGATGTGTCAATAATACGGCTTTAGTGTTTGTCTTGTTCACAGACCAATAGTGTCTTCTTACATTCCTATTTACTCCAAAAAAGGGGGACATTGGGGCCGGCGCCTTGGCTCACTTGGTTAATCCTCCGCCTGCCGTGCTGGCATCCCATGTGGGCGCCGGTTGTAGTCCCGGTTGCTCCTCTTCCAGTCCAGTTCTCTGCTGTGGCCCAGGAGGGCAGTGGAGGATGGCCCAAGTGCTTGGGCCCCTGCACCCGCATGGGAGATGAGGAGAGGCACCTGGCTCCTGGCTTCAGATCAGCGCAGTTTGCCGGCCGTGGTAGCCATTTGGGGATTCAGCCAGCGGAGGGAAGACCTTTTTCTCTCTCTCTCTCTCTCTCTCTCTCACTCACTCACTGTCTATAACTCTACCTGTCAAATAAAAAAAAAAAAAAAAGATGGGGGGAACATGCATTTGACACAGTTGGTTAAAACACCACTTGGGTCACCCGAATCCCAAATTGGAGTGCCTGCAATTGAGTTCCAGCTCCACTTCTAATTCCAGCTTCCTAATAATACACAACCTGAAAGGCAGCAGGTGATGGCTCAAGTATTGGGTCTCTACCACCAATGTGGTAGTTGAAAAGTCAAATTCTTAAACTTCGCCAGTCAGATTCAGATTGAGTTGCAGGTTCCTGGCTTCAGCCTGGCCCAGCTCCAGTTGTTGTAGGCATTCGGATATTGAACCAGGTGGATGGAAGATCCTGTCTTTCAAATAAAATAATAATAAAAACAACAAAATTTGTCCAGTTAAAATGGTAGAATTGTTAAATATCTAATGTCATTGTAAAGTTGAACCTTTTTTTTTTTTAATTAACTTATTTATTTGAAAGAGTTACACAGAATGAGAGGCAGAGAGAGAGAGAGGTCTTCCATCTGCTAGTTCTCTCCCCAATTGGCCGCAATGGCCAGAGCTGAGCTGATCCGAGTGCCAGGAGTGTCTTCCGGGTCTCCCATGCAGGTGCGGGGGCCCAAGGACTTGGATAATCTTCCACTGCTTTCTCAGGCCATATCAGAGAGCTGGATTGGAAGTGGAGCATCTGGGACTCGAACCAGCGCCCATATGGGATGCCTGCACTGCAGGTGGCAGCTTTACCTGCTATGCTACAGTGCTAGCCCTGTAAAATTAAATCTTAAAGTTGGCACTGAATTCATACTAAAGTTTAAGTGATTTCCCTCTTACTTTTAGGGTAGGTGTTTTTAATTTGACATCTGTCTTGACTGCTTATAGGAAGAAGATGTTGATTTCCTGGCCAGGTTTTCTAAGCTGGTGAATGGAATGGGACAGTCATTGATCGTTAGCTGGACTAAATTAATTAAGAGTGGGGATATCAAGAATGCTCAGGAGGCACTGCAAGCTATTGAAACGAAAGTGGCGCTGATGTTACAACTGCTAATTCATGAGGATGATGACATCTCCTCCAATATTATTGGGTTTTGTTATGATTATCTTCATATTTTGAAACAGGTAAATCTTTGTTTTCTTCTTTTTATCCAGTAGATATAAAGGAGTCATGCAGAATTGGAAAATGCAGGAAAAGTAAAAATAAGAGAACACCCAAAGTTCTGTTAACTATAAAGTTATTTATAGTTGAATATTAATGTATTTGTGTCTCTTTAATAAAAGAAGTTCTTAGGCAAAAAATGGGAGTGGCTAAGTTTGGAAATTTGCTAAACTAGCAATTATTAATTAGTTATTATCCAAGCTTTAGTTATTAGTCTACAGATTGAGGTTAGTAAGTTATTTTTTCATTTTGGACCTGTATTCTGAATACAGTATAAATTTTTCTAAGCACGGTTTGTTTCAATTGCATATGTATAATTTCTTAAAAATAATATAGTACAGCTAAAATTTTCCCTAGGAATTTATTTTCCAAAAATAATTTGAAATGTAGGTGGTATTAGTCTGCATATTATAGCATGTAGTACTTTAAACAATTAGTAACTTTTCATTGTGGCATTAGACAAGAGAGCCATTTCTATCCTGTTTGCATTTGATTAATTGAATCAAGTTAGATTTGCTATTTTTCCAAAATGAAGTTAGCTTCTATTTTATTGTTACAAATAACATATCCCTTTGTGATTACTTTATGAAATTTTAGGCAATGTGGGAAGGTATGATTACTATTGGTAATCCCACTATGTATGTGTTAATTGATTTCTAGACTTTAAAAACATCTTGTTTAAAAACAAGATGAACTCATCCTTTTACTGCCCTGTAACCTGCTTTGCTGAATGCAATATGGGTATCTTTGCAAATCAAATTCATCTCTGTGTCAGGTTATTTACTACAAGTGAAATTTCTAGATCTTAGGTACATTTTAGAAAGAGGTGTTTTTAGAACTATTTTTGGAAAGTAACTATGTATGTTTTAGATGATATTTTAATTGCTTAGAGAAATATCTTTAAAACGAAGTGTAACTTTAGGAAACCTATTAAATTATTGCTTATTTCTTAACAGCTTACAGTGCTCTCGGATCAGCAAAAAGCAAATGTAGAGGTAATGATCATCTTTATGCTTCTTTCAAACCAGTGACAGATTCTTTGTAAGGAATCTACCTTGAAGTGTAGCTTAATGTGAAATTAAAGGAGATTGATTGACAAGAACTATTTTATTCTTAACCTTAGGCAATCATGTTGGCGGTTGTGAAAAAATTGACTTATGATGAAGAATATAACTTTGAAAATGAGGTAAGAATTTTTGCATTGAAGAGAAATGTTTCAATTTTTTTGATTACTTAGATCAATTAATATTATAAGTTTTTATTGTTTGGGGGCCCTTGAAAGCAAGAACTAGAATTCAAAAAATTAGTCGTTTTTCTATTGACATGAACTTTGGGTAAAATTAATGAAAGCCCCATAATCCTTCATTTTTGTTATTTTGTTCATTAGCAACCTTTTTAAAAATACTGTAGCATGGCAGTTAGTAAAATTACTGTTGACAGTATTATTGGAAATAATATCCGACTTTGTATTTAATAAAAGGGATGAGTTGAGGCCTAGTCAGTGGGTCTCAGGTCCTAAGTCTTTATGGGAGAGTGAGCATTTAGCAGATGTCTGGACATGTTCTAGTTAAACGAGTGGTCCACAATCGTGAGTGGGTTGTCTTCTAAAGCACAGGAGCCACCAGGAGCTTTCTAGGGATTCCAGATGCGTGTGCTGTTCAGTTGTATGCTCAGGTATTCTGTTCCCCACTTCAGGTCCTCAGAAACTTTGGACTGTAAGGGAATAATGGTGGGGATGGACCAGCATGCTGCACTCAGGATATACCAGGCTCCTAATTAATATCTCCAGTCATACAATATGACCATTTTTTACAGTGGACACTGAGATGCAAGGAAAATGAGGGGCTGAAGGTTCCAAAACTGTGTGAACCCATTCTGGGTCTCCTCTCTTGCCCTTAAACTCCTTCTTACACTGCTTCTGGCTCTATGCTTTTGAGCTTTAAGGCTGTTATTCAAAAAGTATTCATTGTGAGCAGGAAGGGAAAAGCTACTAAGCATAGTAAATTTTCTGTATAAATAATATTGGTGAAAAAAGTATACAAGCTGTAAATGCAGAAAACCAAAGTGCTAAAAATGTATATGAATTTTAAGGTATTTAAGGTTTTTAAAGAGGATTTTGACTTGTATAACAGGGTGAAGATGAAGCCATGTTTGTAGAGTATAGGAAGCAGCTGAAGTTATTGTTGGACAGGCTTGCTCAAGTTTCACCAGAGTTACTGCTGGCTTCTGTTCGCAGAGTTTTTAGTTCTACACTGCAGTAAGTTTCTTACTATTTTTGTAATAAGCCCACCCTTCCTTTGTCCCTGCTGATAGTCTGAATTAAGTGATTCATATGAGTTATCCTATCCGTATTACTTGTTAAGATCTTATGTGTGGGGTGGGCTTTTGGCACAGCAGTTAAGCTGCTAATCAGAATATCCACTCTCCTGGGTTCTAGTCCCACCTCTGCTCTCAATTCCAGCTTCCAGTCAGTATATACCAGGAGAGACAGCAGACTCTGGCTCAAATAGTCATCCACATGGGAGACCTGGATTGAGTTCCTGGCTCTTGGCTTTGACCTCACTCAGCCCCAGCTGTTGTGGGCATTTGGGGAGTGAACCATGGAATGGGAGATCTGTTTTCCGTCTCCGTTTGTGTGCCTTTCAGATAAATAAAATTAAAAAAAAGATCTTATGAAGAATCTTTGGAAACAGTGCACTTTTCTTGTCTCTGGTTTATCTTGATCCTTTCTGCTTTGGTGTTATAAATTATGTTGCCTGACAGCATTAACAATTGCTGTGGCTTTTCAGTAATTGCAGAGACTTTTGTTGGTGTCTTGTTACCCTGTGTATCACCAGTTGTGTAGAAAGTTTATGTTCAGATCTCACTGATATATTATACCTTGGTAGGAATTGGCAGACTACACGGTTTATGGAAGTTGAAGTAGCAATAAGATTGCTGTATATGTTGGCAGAAGCTCTCCCAGTATCTCATGGTGCTCACTTCTCAGGTGATGTTTCAAAAGCTAGTGCTTTGCAGGATATGATGCGAACTGTAAGTATACTGAAGATAATTTATTTTGAACACAATTTTCTGTTTTCAGTATAAGCTATTAGGAGTTCCTTAATTGTTAGAGTTTAGTATATATTAATAATGGGGCATTTTGATACTGCAATTAAGTAAGAATGAATTTTTTAACTTTTTCTTGTTCCAGTTGGTAACATCAGGAGTCAGTTCCTATCAGCATACATCTGTAACATTGGAGTTCTTCGAAACTGTTGTTAGATATGAAAAGTTTTTCACAGTTGAACCTCAACACATTCCATGTGTACTGGTAAGTATATGTCTTACAGTGGATTTTTGTTATTCAGAAACTCTTGAAGTACACTGAAACTAGCCCCTCCTCCATTTCTTTTAAATGGACAACCTGGTTTCTAATCAGTCATTTACAGCAAAGTCCTCGAGGGCCCATTTGTATGTAGTATGGAATTATTTGTATAGTCCTTATCCTGCCTCTGAGGAACCTAAGAAGTAAAAAATTTTTTTTTTATTTTTTTATTTGTTGACAGGCAGAGTGGACAGTGAGAGAGAGAGACAGAGAGAAAGGTCTTCCTTTTTACTATTGGTTCACCCTCCAATGGCCGCCGTGGCCGGCACACCGCGCTGATCCAAAGCCAGGAGCCAGGTGCTTCTCCTGGTCTCCCATGCGGGTGCAGGGCCCAAGCACTTGGGCCATCCTCCACTGCACTCCCGGGCCATAGCAGAGAGCTGGCCTGGAAAAGGGGCAACCAGGACAGAATCTGGCACCCCGACCGGGACTAGAACCTGGTGTGCCGGCGCCGCAAGGCGGAGGATTAGCCTATTGAGCCGCGGCGCTTGCTAAAGAAGTAAAATTTTATGTGAAGAAAATGTAGCATGACAGTAGCAATAAAAACCTTGAAGCAATGCAGAAATCGTTAAAAGTATCTTTTTTTTCTTTTCAGATGGCTTTCTTAGATCACAGAGGTCTGCGGCATTCTAGTGCAAAAGTACGGAGCAGAACTGCTTACCTGTTTTCCAGATTTGTCAAATCTCTCAAGTAAGTATAAAATTTTAGCTATTAACTAGCTTTTTAAAAGGCACAGGACATACTTTCCAAGAGCCTAACACGTCATCACTAATGACATTGGTTAGTTATTTACCCAACAGTTTTACTGCCTGGATCATGCATGTGGAAGAACTTAAAATATTGTACACTAAAACATCTTTCAGTTCCATTTTTCCATGAAACTTTTTGAAGTACCCTATGCCTTCCTTGAAATTCTAGAATCTATTGTACCATTTTTTGGCATGAAAACTTAGTGTTAAACTTGTAAGATTCTTAAGTCTAGCCTTGGCAGTCTGTCACTATGGAGCATACAGATAATTTTGAAAAACTAGTAGTCTGAATGAGAGGTGACTAGCTTAGAACTGAACATTTTTAGTTGTCTGGAAGGGAGATTTCGTATTCTAGTAATTTTTGAGCATTGTTTAATTTTTACTTTCTCTCTTTTTATTTAGTAAACAAATGAATCCTTTCATTGAGGATATTTTGAATAGAATACAAGATTTACTAGAACTTTCTCCACCTGTAAGTATCCTTCCAAAGTATTTTCCCCAAATTGCATTGAGGCCACATATACCATTAGCCTTTACCTTTGTGAGCAACTTAAAAAAAAAAAAAAAAAAAAAAAACCTTGTTGAGGGGGGAGGCATGTGTGCTAGTTAGTTCTATTTGCCAAACTTCTGTTGATACAGTAAATGAAAATAGTAATAGGCATAAAGAGCTTTCTGATTAATTTGGCAGCATGAGTTATGGTCTGCTGTCTGTACGTTAAATGTTAGGTATTTTATGGAGGAGAAATTCAGTGTTTAAATTATTCTTAATTAGTACTACAAGGGTAGTCACCATTTTTGGGAACAGCTACTATTAGACTGAAGTTTTTCTGTGTAACTTTAGACTGAAGGTAAAAAAACTTTACTGCTGGTTGATTTGAATAGTCTGCTATCCATTTCACAAGGAAGATTTACGTTATAAGTACATTTTTGATGTAGACATGTTTTGTTTCACTCATTTAGTGAAAGTTACTACTATAGTGGCCAGTTTAAAATGCTAAACATAAAATGATACTTTGATTTTTAAAATACTGGTGACTACTGGGTTTAAAGAAGCCATATTTTACAGATAGAAAGCTTTCATGTTTTTCATACAGTGCATAAAAATAAGGATTTGTCCTTGTAATCCTTTTTCAATATATAAAAAGATTGTTTCAAATTGTTTTCTTGAAAGCTTACCACTTACTTGGGTTATGATTACACGTTTTTTTAAAAAAGATTTATTTATCTGAAAGCAGAATTAAGATTTTCCATCTATGGATTCCTCCCCAAATACCTATAACAGTCAGGGCTGGGCCAAGCCAAGGTCAGGAGCTTCTTCCAGGTCTTCCACATGGGTGGCAGGGGCCCAAGCAGTAGGGCCATCTGCTGCTGCTTTCCCAGGCACATTAGTAAGGAGCTTGATTGGAAGTGGAGCAGCTGTTACACGAACCAGTGCCCATATGGGATGCCTGCAACACAGGTGACAGCTTAACCGACCTTGCCATGACACCAGCCACTTGACAGCACATTTTTAGAGTGTCTTATAATTAGGCAATTACTTCATCTTTGTATTTTCAACTTCTAGAGCAGTGAAAACTTCTAGCAGGTATTTAATAAATGCTTTAGTTATTTTTAAATAGGAACATTACTTTTCAGGGGTAGAGAATTCTTTTATAATAAAACTGTCACATAATACAACTTTTTTTTTTTTTTTTTTTTTTTTTGACAGGCAGAGTGGACAGTGAGAGAGAGAGACAGAGAGAAAGGTCTTCCTTTACCGTTGGTTCACCCTCCAATGGCTGCCGTGGCCGGTGCGCTGCGGCTGGCGCACCGCACTGATCCGATGGCAGGAGCCAGGTGCTTTTCCTGGTCTCCCATGGGGTGCAGGGCCCAAGCACTTGGGCCATCCTCCACTGCACTCCCTGGCCACAGCAGAGAGCTGGCCTGGAAGAGGGGCAACCGGGACAGAATCCGGTGCTCCGACCAGGACTAGAACCCGGTGTGCTGGCGCCGCAAGGCGGAGGATTAGCCTAGTGAGCCGCGGCGCCGGCCACATAATATAACTTTTAAGACTAGGTTTTTATATATAATTTCTATTTTTTTATTTTATTTTTTTTTATTTTTGACAGCCAGAGTGGACAGTGAGAGAGAGACAGAGAGAAAGGTCTTCCTTTACCATTGGTTCACCCTCCAATGGCCGCTGCGGCCGGCACACTGCGCTGATCCGAAGGCAGGAGCCAGGTGCTTCTCCTGGTCTCCCATGCGGGTGCAGGGCTCAAGGACTTGGGCCATCCTCCACTGCACTCCCGGTCCATAGCAAGAGGGGCAACCAGGACAGAATCTGGCGCCCCGAGCAGGACTAGAACCCGGTGTGCTGGCGCCACAAGGCGGAGGATTAGCCTATTGAGCTGCGGCGCCGGCCTATATGTAATTTCTTAATAGGGATTTTTAGTGTTGAAAACTTGATGGCTAATGATTTTTTTCTCCTTTTGGCCTGAGTGCATAAAGGTAAAAATAACAATAGCTGTTAATAAAAATTGACCTGTATATGGAATATTTGTGTGAACGACATTTCATTTTCATTCACAATCTTTAAAGTGTCGAAAATGCTAATTCTTGTAGCCTTTGTACTAATAAGCAATTTTTTGTACCCTTCATGTTTACCCTCATAAGTTTTATAAATAAGACTTTTCCAAAAAATATTAGAAAGCCAATATTTATCATAAGTAAACATTTGCAAAGTGTTGTAGGACTAGACTTCAAACCATGATCTTTTGACCGTTAATTCAGTTTTCATTGTATAGTTGTGAGAAAAAAAATTACATTAATTATAAATTAATGTAATAGATGACTTATCCTATCCCTCTTGCACTTATTCTGCCTAAGTGAGAGGAAGTCAAAAAGGAGAAACTTCACTAAGACCAAATTTTCTTCTAGGAGAATGGTTACCAGTCCTTGTTGAGCAGCGACGATCAGCTGTTTATTTATGAGACAGCTGGAGTGCTGGTTGTGAATAGTGAATACCCAGCAGAAAGGAAGCAAGCGCTGATGAGGAACCTGTTGACTCCACTGATGGAGAAGTTTAAAATTCTGTTAGAAAAACTGATGCTGGCACAGGATGAAGAAAGGCAGGCATGTCTAGCAGATTGTCTTAACCATGCTGTTGGATTTGCCAGGTAAGTGTGATTACAGTTAGAATTCTCAGGTTTGTAACTCTGCTCAGACAGAACCACTTATTAGGATCATTTAGGATGGGAGCACTTGTCTGTGTTTTCAAAAGCTGAACAGTCCAGAGAATTGTCTAAACCTTTTTCTTCTAAATCCAGTGATTTAGAAGATTTAGCTGAAGAAAGGAGTAGATTGCATACCAGTCTGCATTTTTGCTTTGACAACTGTCTGAATCCTTAATTGCTCAGAATTCTTTAGTATAAGCTAATTGTGTATTTGGGGGGGGGGGTAACTAAAGTGTTTGTACCACAATGGTGTATTGGAACATTTTTGGCTAGGCTTGGTACCTTAAAGAGTAGGTGATGAGGCTTCTCTTGCCATTGCAATGTGTCCTGAACACCACTGAAGCAGCCATTTTTCCCTTTCTACCCATACTTTCCTTGGTAAACAGTGACAGCATGAAAGTTGTAGTGACTGGTAATTAGGAGTTACATAGAGAATTTGTACTACAGAATCCTTCAGAGCAAGAGCTAAGTATTAGAGGTTGCATAACTAACTCGATTCTAAAGATTGTTTTCTGAATTGAATTTTAGTTTGAAGTTTTAGTATAGCCTTGTCATAGTAAATGAATTTGTTTTTCTCTGTTTATATACGTTCTCAGCGGGAGCAGTAAAACATTCAGGTAGACATGCATTAGAGGAATTAGATTAATTGTATCTGTTTCATTGAATCTAACTGTAGCCCTTTGTTATGGAACAGTAACTGGAGGCAGTTACAGATTATCGTGTTAGCTAAAAATGGAAGTAATTGTGACATAAAAAACAAGCAGTTCATTTCTTTTATGAATTTTATAATTTGTTGTACATTATTTTTGAATACTTCATTTAAAGAATAAAGTTAACATTAGCTGCCTATTTTGCTTATAGCCGAACTAGCAAGGCTTTCAGCAACAAGCAGACTGTGAAACAATGTGGCTGTTCTGAAGTTTATCTGGACTGTTTACAAACATTCTTGCCAGCCCTCAGTTGCCCCTTACAAAAGGATATTCTTAGAAGTGGAGTTCGCACTTTCCTTCATCGAATGATTATTTGTTTAGAGGAAGAAGTTCTTCCATTCATCCCATCTGCCTCGGAACATATGCTCAAAGACTGTGAAGCAAAAGACTTGCAGGAGTTCATTCCTCTCATCAACCAGATCACAGCCAAGTTTAAGGTAGCACAAATCTTCAGAGCTCCGAGAGTCTCCTGACTTAAAGATCATCAAAATTCATGACATGTTTTGGTTTTTGTCCTTGGTTTTTTTAAAGAAACATGAGTTATTTGAGTGCCTGGGTCATTGCATTTTTATTGTCCTCAATGTCTTGCACACTGCCTGACACAAAGGTTGTACCTTCTGGATGGTTTAATAAAATAGGCCTCACCTGCTCTGTGTAGCAGATGACTAGTCTGCTTTTTCAGAAAAGCAAATAAGAATAGTACTGAGTACCAAATAGCTAAGAGGTGAATAAGAAGCACTTAATTTGGGTGCACAGCAGGAGTTAAAAGATTTAGCATATGCAGTTAAGTTTTATGTTCAAGGAAATTTATGCCAAGTGTAAGCTGGGTAATAAAAATGGCCAACACATACACAGTGCTTTCTAAGTTAAGAATCTCAGCATTTTTTAATACATTTATTTGATCCTTAAATAATCCTAGGGTCCTAGGTGGATGTCATAGATGAAGAAATTGAGGTAAAGAGAAGGACACATAAAACCTGAGAGTTGATATAAAAATTTAAAGGAGAAAATATTCTGTGGCAATATTTATTAGTGAAATGTATCACCACCTGTTACCATAAGCTATAGGCAATGGGTTGAATAATGATTTTAAGACTTTTGGTGGTTTACATATGTTACATATAATATGGCTGGCTGAATTAGGTAAATATATATCCTAAATAAACTTAGAGGAAAGACTTTATGTAAAATTTCTTTTCTGAGTTTCATAGTAATTTTCTTGCTCGTTTCTGAAGAAGTGTTTGCTTCTTGTCTTCAGATACAGGTGTCCCCATTCTTACAGCAGATGTTCATGCCCCTGCTCCATGCGATTTTTGAAGTGCTGCTCCGACCAGCAGAAGAGAACGACCAGTCTGCTGCTTTAGAGAAGCAGATGTTGCGGAGGAGTTACTTTGCTTTCCTGCAAACAGTCACAGGCAGTGGAATGAGCGAAGTTATAGCCAATCAAGGTGGGGATGCATGCATATCTAGGTTGCCTGTGTAAGTCCCAGTCACAGTGGTACCTGTGAATGAACAAGAGTGAACTGATGTGAACGGGAAACTTGAAAATCATTGTTACGCTGACCCTTAGGGTAATAGCTCATTATTTTGGAATAAGAGTCACTTCCATGTAGAACACCTTAAAATTAATTTGGATTTAGATCCTTTTTGTCCTAAGACAGTATTCTTTCATTAGTTCTTAGTAGTATTAGTAGTAGTTTTAAGAACTTTGATGAGGCGGCGCTGCGGCTCACTAGGCTAATCCTCCACCTTGCGGCGCCGGCACACCGGGTTCTAGTCCCGGTCGGGGTGCCGGATTCTGTCCCGGTTGCCCCTCTTCCAGGCCAGCTCTCTGCTGTGGCCAGGGAGTGCAGTGGAGGATGGCCCAGGTCCTTGGGCCCTGCACCCCATGGGAGACCAGGAAAAGCACCTGGCTCCTGCCATCGATCAGTGCGGTGCGCCAGCCACAGCGCGCCGGCTGCGGTGGCCATTGGAGGGTGAACCAACGGCAAAGGAAGACCTTTCTCTCTGTCTCTCTCTCTCACTGTCCACTCTGCCTGTTAAAAAATAAAAAAAAATAAATAAAAAATAAATAAAAAAAAGAACTTTGATGAGTCTTACTAGCTAGTTTACCATTTTGAGATTAAAAATAAGTGGGACTTTGTAAATCAGTATCCAGGATTCTGGTGTATAAGAAATCCAATGAGTAAGATATCAAGGGAATACTGATTTTTCAATGTTTCTTGGAATTTTAGGTGCCCAGTTAAGAAAAATGGAGAGGGACCATATCAAGTCTGTAAATGCTTTTTGACTTGTTACTGTGTGTAAAACAAGAACTTCAGGTTGTTTTTCTGGTTCTGTTAGAAAATAAACACAAGATTTTCTCTTCAGGTGCAGAAAATGTAGAACGAGTGTTAATAACTGTTATCCAAGGAGCAGTTGAATATCCAGATCCAATTGCCCAGAAAACCTGTTTTATCATCCTTTCAAAGTTGGTAGAACTCTGGGGTAAGGTCATTTTTTTTTTAAACTGTAATTCTTAAGATTCGTAGAGATGAAATGGAACCCTATCCCTACATAGAACATAGACAGGAACTGGGAATTGATTTTTCCCAAGTGATGAATTAATTGACTTTCTTTTTATAAAGATGAAAATTTGAATTCTCTTGACAGGAGGTAAAGATGGACCAGTGGGATTTGCTGATTTTGTTTATAAGCACATTGTCCCTGCATGTTTCCTAGCACCTTTAAAACAAACCTTTGACCTGGCAGATGCACAAACAGTGTTGGTAAGCACCTAGGAATCTTTGTTTACCTTGTGTAGCTCTCTTACACTCACCGTCTCTTCTTTAATGCCAGGTTATGTTTTAGTTTTTACTATTTTTTTAATTTAATGATTTCAAATTAGGATTCACTTTTTTAAAGTTTGGTGATACCTTGTGACCTTTTGTGGATTCTTAAATTCTGATACTAAATTTTATGTGTAAAACTCCAGTTCTTTCAGCTGCAACAACCAAAGTTTTTTCTAGGGCCACATGATACAGTCTTTGAAGCTTAACTGAGTTATTAATTTATTCCTACTATTTGAGTTCTAAAACTTGTGCTTAGTGGTTTTATCTGACCTTTAACAGCATAAAATGGCAACTTTGTCCTCTTTGTATGAATTGTTTCCCCAAACCTAGTCTCCTGGATACTTTACTATCAGTTGTCCTCTTCTCACTTTCACACAGCACAGTAAACGCCAGGCTTCATAACTGTAACTTGCTACCTGAAGATAGCATATTCTGCTTTTGTTATTTTTCTATTCAACCTACTTTCTCCACTCTCCTATTACCTTTCCTTTCTCTGTCCCTTCTTTGGAGGTAAATTTGGATCAGTAACCAAGAACTGGCCATACTAAAATTCTTAAACTTGTTTTTTGCAGGCCTTATCTGAATGTGCAGTGACACTGAAAACCATTCATCTCAAACGGGTAAGCCTTGTGCATCCCTCACCTGCAGTGTTGTCTCATGTGGAAGACTGGTGATAGTTTTAATCATGTTTGATTCATCTCATTCTTGAGAGCAGTACCTTTTATCAAAGGCAGTTAACTTCAATTCTGACTTCCCCTGGTGAGGGGCTGAATGACAGCAGTAGTACCTGCTATTATCTCATATTTTGGGCAACAGGTTTAAAATACATGTTTTTTGACAAAGGGTATGAAAAATCTTAACCAGAATTACGAGGTCCAGATTTCACAATCTGGCAGGCTTCATCAGTTTGAGTCCTCCAGCTTCTGAGTATTTGGACTGTGTGAAGCACTTAACTATCTTACAGTACCCTCTTCTTTGTCAGCCTCATCATGTGTATTAGTCATAAGTGACACTGGGATATTTTTTTCTTTTAAGATTTATGTATTTATTTGAGAGGCAGAGTTACAGAGAGAGGTATTCCACCTGCTGATTCTCTCCCCAAATGACCACAACAGCTGGAGCTGGGCCCATCCAGAGACAGGATCCAGGAGCTTTTTCCAAGTCTCCCACGTGGGTGCAGGGGCCCAAGCACTTGGGCCATCTTCCATTGAATTCCCAGGTCATTAGCAGAGAGCTGGACCAGAAGAGGAGCAGTTGGTACATGAACCAGAACTCATATGGGATGCTGGCGCTGCAGGCAGAGGCTTAACCTAAACAACAGTGCCAGCCCCAACACTGGGATATTTTTAAATAACTTGAATTGGTTGTCAGCAATTCAGGTACTCCTTTTCTTTTTCATTTTTGTGAACAACAATTCTTGATCTCTACCTCCTTTCAAAGCCACAATCCCACCACAGAACCTGCATTTCCACATAGCTGCAGGTGGCTGAGGAGCAGCAGTTCCTCCAACCCTAAAAAACCATGAGTCTGTCACCACTCTCTTTTCTGCCCACTCACTTATTTGAACTTGAGTTTTTGGTTCTGATACAGATTTGAGGGTTTTCCTCTCAGCAGCACTTTCTCTATACCTGCTGTTTGCTAGGGTAAAGAGTGTATATTTAGAGGCAGTAGGGATGCTGTGTAAGGATGAATAAAAAGTCCCTCAATATTTATGGAGCTCAGGATTCAGGGAGACCAGCACATAAATAATTCCCAGTGGGCTAAATCAGTACTTCAATAGACGCTTAAAATTATAAAGTGCAGAGCTGGTGCTGTGGCATAGTAGGCTAAGCTTCCACCTGTAGCACCGGTATCCCATATTGGCACCAGTTCGAGTCCTAGCTGCTCTACTTCTGATTCAGCTCTCTGCTAATTGCCTGGGAAAGCAGTAGAAGATGGCCCAAGTGCTTGGGCCCCTGCACCTACATGGGAGACCTGGAAGAAGCTTCCAGCTCCTGGCTTCAGATCAGCCCAGCTCAGGCCATTGCAGCCATTTGGGGAGTGAACCAGCAGATGAAATATTCTCTCTCTCTGCCTCTCAAATAAATGAGTTTATTTTATTTTATTTTATTTTTGACAGGCAGAGTTAGACAGTGAGAGAGAGAGAGAGAAAGGTCTTCCTTTTCTGTTGTTTCACCCCCCAAATGGCCGCTATGGCTGGCGAACTGCACTGATCCAAAGCAAGGAGCCAGGTGCTTCCTCCTGGTCTCCCATGCGGGTGCAGGGCCCAAGCACTTGGGTCATCCTCCACTGCCTTCCCAGGCCACAGAAGAGAGCTGGACTGGAAGAGGAGCAACTGGGACAGAATCCGGCGCCCCAACCGTTACTAGAACCCGGGGTACTAGTGCTGCAGGCGTAGGATTATCCAAGTGAGCCGTGGCGTCGGCCACAAATAAATAAGTTTTAAAAAATAAAGTAAAATAAAATCATAAGGTGCTAAAGTGTAATGTACCATTTTGCCTAAGGGACAGTCTAAAGAAGCTGTAGGAAAGAGGTTTTTTTGTTTATCTTTTAAGAATTTACATTTTTTTTAAGATTTATTTCTCTTTTTTTAAGATTTATTTATTTTATTTGAAAGAGTTACACAGAGAGAGGAGAGGCAGAGAGAGACAAAGAGAGAGAGAGAGGTCTTCCATCCTTTGGTTCACTCCCCAATTGGCCGCAACAGCCAGAGCTGCACCGATCTGACCAGGAGCCAGGAGCTTCTTCTGGATCTCCCATGCGGGTGCAGGGACCCAAGGACTTGGGCCATATTCCATTGCTTTCCCAGGCCATAGCAGAGAGCTGGATCGGAAGAGGAGCAGCTGGGACTAGAACCATCCCATATGGGATGCCAGCGCCTCAGGCCAAGGCGTTAACCCGCTTCGCCACAATGCTGGCCCCTGTTTATCTTTTAAATAGGCCAAGATAGGTCACATGTTATCTGGTGGGATTGGTGGGAACAGATTTTCCTGTAAATTACACAGGTAGAAGTAACTGCTAAAAAGTACAGTGGAACTAGTTGGTTGAATAGCATTACATATGAAGAGTTAGGGAGTCATTAGGCAGTAGGGTTGTAATTGAGGATAGTGGGGTGAGAAAAACTGTTTAGAGAGCAGGTTGGAGTAAGAATCTGAAGCAGAACTAAAAAATTGATGGGAATTGGAGCATATTTGGTATAGCAGTTAAAACACTGCTTGGGATTCCCACTCACAGAACACAATGCCTGGATTTGAGTCCTCTACTTCCCATTCCTTCTTCCTGCTAGTGTACCCTGGGAGGCAGCATGTGATGGCTCAAGTATTTGGGTTTCTGCCACCCACAAGGGAGAACCAGAATGAGTTCCAGAATCCTGGTTTCTTCTTGTCTCAGCCTAGCTAATGAGGGCATTTGGGGAGTGAAATCAGCAGATGGAAAATCTCTGTCCTGCACTCTTTCTCAGCTTTTTAAATAAATAAAAATAAATCACTAAAAATTTTACAAATGTATTGATTGGAAAGTCTTCACTATATACAGTTAAGCAAAATGATACAAGTAAATTAAACTTAGTAAGACAGGATGGAGAGAACCTTGGCCAATGCAGGTATCGAGAAAGCTAGGAGTAGAACCAAAGGTAAGAGTATTATGAAAACTAAAGGAAGAGAGAGTCTCAATAGAGAAGATTGGGTGACACAGTTGAATACTACAGAGACAAGGAAGGTGAGGAATGAAAAGGGACAGTAAGAATGGTATTTATAGTTCACAAGTATTTGTTTTGTCCATGGAAACCCTAATTTCAGGGCACTCAGAATTGAGCTAAACGATACTAAATTAGAGGCCAGCGTTCAGCTTTCTATACCAGCATCTCATATCAGAGCACCAGTTCTAATCCCAGCTGCTCTGCTTTCAATCCAGCTAATGCTCCTGGGAAAGCAGCAGAAGATGGCCCATTTGTTTTGGCCTCTGACACCCACATGGGAGACTTGGATGTAGTTCCAGGCTCCTGGGTAGGTCATTGTATTGCAGCCATTTGAGGAGTGAACAAACAGATGGAAGATCTCAATCCCTCTCTCAACACTGCCTTTCAAATAAGTACTTTTTTTTTTTTTTTTTTTTTTTGACAGGCAGAGTGGACAGTGAGAGAGAGAGACAGAGAGAAAGGTCTTCCTTTGCCGTTGGTTCACCCTCCAATGGCCGCCGCGGCTGGTGCGCTGCGGCCAGCGCACTGCGCTGATCCGATGGCAGGAGCCAGGTACTTCTCCTGGTCTCCCATGGGGTGCAGGGCCCAAGCACTTGGGCCATCCTCCACTGCACTCCCGGGCCACAGCAGAGAGCTGGCCTGGAAGAGGGGCAACCGGGACAGAATCCGGCGCCCCGACTGGACTAGAACCCGGGGTGCTGGCGCCACAAGGTGGAGGATTAGCCTAGTGAGCCGCGGCGCCGGCCATAAGTACACCTTTTTAAAAAATACTAAATTTGAAAATGTTTTGCTTCATTTTTCTATTTACTCACTTTTAACTGACTTGAGATGCAAATTTACTTCTCTTGATTTCAAAAAAAATTTTTCTATTAAGTAATATCAGTGGGGTTTCAAAACAGTGATGAGCTGTGCATAGAAAGTAAGCATAGAGGGGACAGCTTAAAGACATGATGAGAAGGAAAGCAGAAGGGATGTAGAAAACTTCCAAAGACACCATAGTGTTATCTCCTCTCACTTAGGAGCAAGTTTTCTTTGAAGGGTTGTTAAATTGTGATCTAGCTCTATTGGTTTAGAGGGATGGGAGTCAGTTGTTCTGATTTAGGAACAATTATAAGTCATTGGGAAATCCAGCTGTTAATGCAGGGACAGCACTCTGAAGAGAGTATGGCCCTGAAGTCTGTGTTCGTAATCACAATACTGTATTGCTGTTAAAGTATCCATGTGTTGTTCACGTTTCTTTTTAAGCAATATAAATGTCAAGAAAGAAAACAATTAATTTTTTAATCTTTTAATCTTTTAATCTTCAGGGCCCAGAATGTGTTCAGTATCTTCAACAAGAATACCTGCCCTCTTTGCAGGTAGCTCCAGAAATAATTCAGGTAAGAGCTGCCCAGCAGATTCTGCTTTTAGAGAAATGTGGCTATGGTATGTATCATTCAGTGTAAATTTTTATTTAAGAAAGTCCGACCACATTCAGCTTGATGTTTTGCTGTGTATAGGATAGCAAGAATTCTTAGCCTGGAGTCCAGACTTCTAAGGATGCAGGAAATTGAATGGGGAAAAATTTAGATTTCTGTTTTTACTAACTTCTAACAGAAATTTACTTTCCTGCCATTGTGTAGGCAACACAATGGTCATAGCAATAGCTTTGCCTGTGACTTGGTCCAGTTGAATTCACAGATAATTTCATATCACATAAGTTGTTGCAAGTATCTTAAAATATTTTCATGCTTGTCCCTTTTGAAATTAGGAGTTACTAGGTAATGCCTCTCTACCTTGTTCCCTAGTAAGTTGTTTTATTCTGTTTCACTTTTTTAATTACAATAATTATAATTTCCTTTGTAACTCAATGGGTTACTTTTCTAAAAAAAACATTCTAAAAGTCTAATCCTAATTGCTTCCCCAGACTAAGGGGACCAGCACATAAAGAAACAATGTTCTGAAGGTAGTTCATTATACATTTGCCATGCTTATCAGTGCTTAATATGTAAAGTTGAAACTGTATGTAAGGTAAATGGCTGGAAAGTTACCTTATATTTTGTGTTTTTACAACGGTATTTGTACAGTGGCATTCAGGTATTTTCTTGGCATGTAACTTTCCAGACTTCCGTCCAATGGCATACGGAGCTAATGAGGTATCAAACCTTTGATTAGAAGTAGAATTACACTCTCTTGTATAGATTCTAAGATTTGTTTCTTCATTACTTTTTTTTAATATGGTAGGAAGAGTTAACATGAAATATACCTTCTTAATGAATTTTTTGTGTACAGGTACAGTGTTGTACCTATACAACATTAGAAAGTGTATACAATAGAGTTGTATACCTTTATAATGTTCATCTCACATAATTGAGGCTTTGTGCCTATTGATTAGCAACTCCCTGGCAACCACTATTCTATGATGCTGAGTTTGCCCATTTTTGTTATCTCATAGATATAAATCATATAGTGTTTATCTTTTGTGATATTATGTTTTACTTAGCATAATGTCCTCTAGGTTCGTTCATATTGTTGCATCTAGCAGGATTTCCCTTTCTTAAGGCTAATACTCCATTTTATTTATATACCATAGTTTCCTTATCTTAACTATAATGAATAGGACTGCAATGACATGAGAGTGCTAATGTCTGCTTGAGATCTGATTTTAATCCTTTTGGATAAATACCCAGAAGTAGGATTGCTGAACCTTATAGAAGTTCTCTTTTTAATTTTTTGAAGAATTTTTATACCACTTTCCATAGCAACTGCACCATTTTGCATTCTCACAATGTATATCAATAGTTCTCCATTTCTCAGCAACACTTGCTGCCTTTTGTTTTTTTCAGTAGTGGCCATCTTAGTAGGTATAAGGTAAATCACCCTGTGGTTTTGATTTGTATTTCCCTGGTGATTGATCATCTTTTCATATACCTGTTGGCCATTTGTATGTCTGCGGACAAAAGTCTATTTTTTTTTTTTTTTTAACAGACAGAGTGAGACCATGAGACAGAGAGACAGAGAGAAAGGTCTTCCTTCTGTTGGTTCACCTCCCAAATGACTGCGACGGCCGGCGAGCTGCGCCGATCCAGGAGCCAGGTGCTTCCTCCTGGTCTCCCATGCAGGTGCAGGGCCCAAGCACTTGGGCCATCCTCCACTGCACTCTCGGGCCACAGTAGAGAGCTGGACTGGAAAAGGAGCAACTGGGACTAGAACCTGGGGTGCCGACACCGCAGGCGGAGGATTAGCCAAGTGAGCCGCGGCGTCGGCCTTTAAGCCTATTTTCTAATTAGGTTATTTAAAAGGCAGAGTTACAGAGAGAGGGAGGGAGAGCATAATTTATGATTGCTCTTGTTTTAAAGATTTATTTATGTGAAGTCTATGTTATTTCTCAATTTTCAGTGCCTCTTAAAAACACTGCTAAAGGCCTGTGCTGCAGCTCACTTGGCTAATCCTCCACCTGCGGCACCGGCACCCCGGGTTCTAGTCCCAGTTGGGGCACCAGATTCTGTCCCAGTTGCTCCTCTTCCAGTCCAGCTCTCTGCTGTGGCCCGGGAAGGCAGTGGAGGATGGCCCAAGTGCTTGGGCCCTGCACCCACATGGGAGACCAGGAGGAAGCACCTGGCTCCTGGCTTCAAATCGGCACAGCTCCCCAGCTGTAGCAGCCATTTGGGAGGTGAACCAACAGAAGGAAGTCCTTTCTCTGTGTCTCCCTCTCTCTCACTGTCTAAAAAAAAAAAGACTGCTAAAAGACATCTGGTGTTTGTGAATATTGTCAAAAATGTCCATACTATTCAAAGTGATTCAAAAATGGAAGCCAGTGTTGAAGAAAAGTGGCGTGAGGGCTGCTCAGGGAGGTGGTGGTACCTGATGCTCTTTTTAAAAATTTTTTTAAAGATTCTTTTATTTATTTGAAAGTCAGTTACAGGGAGAAATCTTCCATCTGCTGGTTCACTCCCCAAATGGCCCCAACGGTCAGGGGTTGAGCCATTCTGAGGCCACGAGCTTCTTCTGGGTCTCCCATGTGGATGCCTGGGCCCAAGCACTTGGGCCAACTTCCACTTCTTTCCCAGGTACATTAGCAGAGAGCTGGATCAGAAGTGCAACAGCTGGGGCTTGAACTAATGCCCATATGGTATGCCAGCATCACAGAGGTGGCACTTTACTTGCTATGCCACAATGCCAGCCCAATTACTGTGTTAAAATGATTTTAACTCACTTTTACTGATTCATGAATCTTTTTATGTTATGACCTACCTCTAACCACTGAGATATTAATGACTTTCTAGGTTATCAGTTGTAACATAAATAAGCTTATTTTAATGGAACCGTTGTTAATTACTCATGTGGTCTCAGTACCCATCCTAAAAATATACCATTCCATTTGCAGCTATTAGTGTTCCAGGCTGCTAAATGATCTAATTATAAAAGACACTCTAAGGAACCTCAGTTTTCGCTTTTTCATATGCTTATGTTCTGACAACACTTTTTGTGGAATTCTTTTTTTTTTCAACTTTTTACTTATTTTTAATTGACAAAAAATACATTTTTATGGCATGCAATATTATATTTTTTTGTAGAATTCTAGAGAACTGCCTCTCTTTTTTGTCTAGCTCTGTTCAGTGACACTTTTACTAGATGAGAACAGCTAGTGCAGAGTACTTTTTGTCCCACTCACTCTTCTTAGGCACAAGTTCACCTTGTCCAGCAGGGCCATGTTCTCAAAACTGAAGGTAGCCTCACATGCATTATATTTGAAAATGCCATATAGTCTTTTGTGGTAAGGATCTGTTTGGGTTGATTTTGATAAGTTATAATAAGAATACTGTGGATTTAAAGCAACTTGAATGGGCACTGGCAGATGAGTAGTAAATAAACAAAATATGGTACATCTGAGAATACTATAAAAAGTGGAATTAAAATTAATTTAAATTAAAAGAAATACAAAAAGTGTAAAAATTTTCGAACTATGTACAGTTCTTTCATAGCATACATCTTCCATGAACTTTTTAAGACCATGTGTGTGCAAAGATCTCAAGTTTTTGCACCAAAATAAAATTAAACTTTGAATTTCCTTTTCCATGAACTTTTTAAAAGTACATTATTGGGCCAGTGCCGTGGCTCAACAGGCTAATCCTCCGCCTTGTGGTGCCGGCACACCAGGTTCTAGTCCCGGTCGGGGTGCAGGATTCTGTCCCGGTTGCCCCTCTTCCAGGCCAGCCCTCTGCTGTGGCCCGGGAGTGCAGTGGAGGATGGCCCAAGTCCTTGAGCCCTGCACCCACACATGGGAGACCAGGATAAGCACCTGGCTCCTGGCTTCGGATCAGCGCGGTGCACCGGCCGCGGCGGCCACTGGAGGGTGAACTAACGGCAAAAAGGACGACCTTTCTCTCTCTCTCTCTCTCTCTCTCTCTCTCTCTCTCTCACTATCCACTCTGCCTGTCCAAAAAAAAAAAAAAAAAGTACATTATCAGTCTTCAGTAAAGAAGAAAATGTCATCTTATGCAACAATAGGGATGAACCTTGGACATTACACTAAGTGAAAAAAGTCACAAAGAGACAAATACCACATGATTCCACTTGTAAGGGATATCTAAAGTAGTCAGACTCATTGGAGCTGAAAGTATGTACCTTTGGTGATTGCTGGGCAGGAGTGTAGGGGGTGTTCAATAGACAGAGTTTCGGTTTTGCGAGATCAGTTTCAGACTACTGTGAAGCAGTGTGCATGTAGTTGACATTACATGTAGAAGTGGTTAAGATGATAAATGTTCTGTGTTTTAGAGATTTTTTAAAAAATACTGTTGATTTGAATTAAGATGGATTTAAAAACATTGGTTCTCTTTCTCCTTGCCCTCACCCCGCAGGAGTTTTGTCAAGCACTTCAGCAGCCTGATGCTAAAGTTTTTAAAAATTACCTAAAGGTAGGTATTTGGGAAACTTACATATCTTCATATAAATAGGACCAAGAGAGAATACATATACTATCTCTTTGCTCTAAAATCTGCTTCTAAAAATCTTCCAATACAGAAGTTTCCATGAAGCCCCATTCAACTGAGCTCTCAGAAAAGACATGAAAAATTTGGACAGAGACATGCATTTGGCACAGTGGTTAAAATGTCACATCCTGTTTCAAGGGTGCCTGGGTTATATTCCCACTCTGGCTCCTGATTCCAGCTCCCTGCCCCCCACATGAAAGACCTAGATTACCCAGTTCCCACCTTCAGCCTGGCCAAGTCCTGGCCATTGTGGACATTTTGGGAGTGAACCAACAGGTGTGACCTCTGTCTCCCTCCCTCTCTCCCTCCCCCTCCCCCTCTGAATGTAACTAAATGTACCTCTTGAGTGTATTGGTATGAAAATGCCAATTTTCTTTTACAAAACTGTTTCTGATTTTTACTTTCTTCATTTTCACAAATTTCAGGGCATAGCACTACACTGCATTTCTTAGTAGCAAATAACTTAGTGAATGGCTACCTGATTCTCTTGCCCAAGACATTTGCTGGAATGCATGAGTCAAAGGGCTTTGCTGGAAAAGGGCATTTAGTCTAATAAGTAAGACACATCCCACGTTGAAGTGCCTAGATTCAGTTTGTGGCTCTGGCTGACTCCAGCTCCTAACTGTGGCTTCCTGTTCCATCACAACTGTGATGGCTCAAGTAGATTTCTGCCACTCATAAGGAAGACCTGGATTGAGTCCCTATTTCTTAGCTCCACTGCCAGCTTTTGGGGAGTAACCAGTACATGGAAGTGGGGGTGCTGTTTTTCTCTGTCTCTCCTTCCCAAATAAATCACATTTTAAAAGGCAGGGGCTTTGCTGAGTAATAATTCAGAGTGCCATCCTGTGACTGTATTTCTGATACCTTCTCTTGTCAGTTACTTTCCTAGTTGGGGTTCATCAACTTAAACATCTCTCAGTTTATGTAGAAGAATATTGAGAATTATTTTGTATCATTGGGAACCTTCCCCTTCTCTGTTTCCCCATAAAAAAGTAAAGTGCGTATGGAGGTAATTTCTGTTAAATAACTAATCAAACTGCATTAAAGAAGTAAAAAAAAAATCTTTGCTCTGTAACACAGGTCAAGGTACACTGTAGAAGGCTAGAGCTCCTTATATGTTCATTTATGCTCTTACATTTATAAAAAGCGTTCCTAAGCCCAACTTCTCTGTTGATGGGATTATTTTATTTTTTAAGGATGTATTTATTTATTCGAAAGAGTTACAGAAAGGCAGAGGCAGAGAGAAGTTTTCCATATGCTGGTTCACTCCCCAAGTTGCTGCAACAGCTGGAGCTGGGCCAGTCAGGAGCCAGGAGCTTCTTCTGGGTCTCCTACGTGGGTACAGGGGCCCAAGAACTTGGGCCATCTTTTAGTGCTTTCCCAGGCCATAGCAGAAAGCTGGATCAGAAGCAGAGCAGCTGGGATTTGAACCAGCACCCATAAAGGATGCCAGCACTGTAGGCGGCAGGTTTACCTGCTACACACAGCACCAGCCCCAGGATTATTTTAGGAGTAGCATTATCCAGGGTTAGCATCATTCTTCTAGTTATAATAAGTGAAGTTCATTCCTTCTGCCCCTTCCTCCCTCTGTACCTAGTTGATTCTTAGATCTTGCTTATTCTTTCCTCCTCATCTGGGCAGGCTTATTAGTCTCCTTTGATTATTCTAGCAAAGCTGATCCTGTTGAAGACTTTAAACAGTCATTTTACATTCATTCTCCTTTCTCATAATTTCTCAAACCTATTGTTTACTAAAAGCAAGTTCACGTTTCTTAGTTTGGCATTTAATTTTATTTTCATAGGCTTTCAGACTACCTTTTTGGTTTCTCTTGCAGTAACAGTCTGCTGTTCAAAATTCCTGCTTTATTAGCAGCCCTCCTTTATGAAGTCTATATCTATTATTATGCTGGGCTTTTAAAAAAGTTCTTATTTGTTTTTATTTTTATTTGAAAGGCAGAGAGCTCAGAGCTGAAACCAATCCAGGTTTCCCAGATAGGTGACAGGAACCCAAGCTCTTGAACCATTATCTACTGCCCTCCCAAGGTGCATTAGCAGGAACCTAGAATCAGAAGTGGAGCTAGGACACAAACCCAGGCACTCTGACATGGATGCAGACATTCCAAGTAATGTGTCCCTTTTTTTGTTTTTAAGATTGATTTATTTTACTGGAAAGATGAAGTTAGAGGGAGAGATCTTCCCATCTGCTGGTTCACTCTTCAAATGGCCACAATGGCCAGGGCTAGGCTAGCCTGAAGCCAGTAGCTTCACATGGTGGCAGAGGCCCAAGGACTTGGGCTATCCTATGTTGCTTTCCCAGACCATTAACAGGGAGCCTGATCAGAAGTGGAACAGCTGGGATTGGCACCCATACAGGATGCCAGCATCACAGGTAGCAGCTTAACCTACACTGCCTGCCCCTTCAACAGTGTCTTAACCACACCACTACACCAAACGCCTGCCCCCTAGGTTTGCTTTAAACATAGCCTGCTGGTAATGCTCTCTTCAGTTCATGAAGTGATTAATTTTTTTCTCTGTACATAATCAAGAGATCGTTAGGTGAATCAGATCCGTTAGATTCCACAGACAGAATGATAAATACAGGTGCCTACCATTTCCTGTTTCTAGAGCTCACTTAATATCTACCTAATTGTGGATTGTTAAGTGTACAACAGTATGGCCAGCGCTGCGGCTCACTAGGCTAATCCTCTGCCTGCCGGGCCGGCACCCCGGGTTCTAGTCCCAGTCTGGGCGCCGGATTCTGTCCTGGTTGACCCTCTTCCAGTCCAGCTCTCTGCTGTGGCCCGGGAGTGCAGTGGAGGATGGCCCAGGTCCTTGGGCCCTGCACCCGCATGGGAGACCAAGAGGAAGCACCTGGCTCCTGGCTTTGGATCGGCGCAGTGTGCCAGCCGCGGCAGCCATTGGAGGGTGAACCAACAGTAAAGGAAGACCTTTCTCTCTGTCTGTCTCTCTCACTGTCCACTCTGCCTGACAAAAAAAAAAAAAAAAAGTACAACAGTAGATCAGTCACTTGCCTGATTTATAGGCTGAAATATTGAATTGGAAATTTTTTTTTTTTTAGATTTTATATTTTATTTGAGAGAGAGAGTTACAGGTGGAGGCAGGTGGAGGGAGAGACAAAAAGGTCTTCTATCCATGTGTTCATTCCCCAAATGGCCGCAACTGCCAGAGCTGAGCTGAACCAAAGCCAGGAGCCTCCTCCAGGCTCAATCACTTGGGTCATCTCCCACTGATTCCCAGGCCACAAGTAGAAAACTGGAATGGAAGAAAAGCAGCCAGGACCTGAACCAGCTCACCTGTGGGATGCCCGCGCCACAGGCAGAAGCTTAACCTACTATGCCACAGCACTGGTTCCCTAGAAATACTTTTATTCATGAAATTCCTTAAGGGATTAGAACTGCTGTCTTTAAATGTTACAGCATTAGAAGTTATACCATATTTTCACTATTTTCCCAGGTAGATGATGTCAGTATAAGTTTTATCTATACTAACAAATTCCCCTGAAGAGAAGAAAGTTCTTAGATTATGGATTTATGAAATGCGTGAAATGTGTTTCATACCTGTTGAACGTTGTAAAAGAATGGCATTCAGAAACTTGGGGCAGTTCTTCATGTGAAAGAGGTTATATCTTCTGACATTGGTATTAACTTTACTAAAACTATATTTACAGGTGTTCTTCCAGAGAGCAAAGCCCTAAGGATTGGATTTCCCTGTGCCTACTTCCTGATAAGAAATTCCAGTTATTTATAAAAAAGCAGTTTTTGTGTGCCATTCATACTCATCTTTTTAACATTGTTTTGAGCTAATTGCAGTATATGTATTGGGATTTTTCTGTAAAATGGGTGTAATTTTCCCTAAATAACAGGTATGTGACAACAAGAAGTTGCATGCCAGCTGAAGATGTTAAATGTAAAATGCTGTTAAAAGACAAAACACTTATCCTAGTACCTTAATTTTTTTATTTGAAACTTTATGTCAAGACCTTTATAAAAACCATAGCAGTGGAAAACAGTACTTTTTAAAAATTGCTGAATATAAAATGTTCAAAATATTTAGTTTCTTTTTTGTGAGAAGACACTTAAAGTATGGAGGAAATATAACAATCAGAACTAATTTGTAGATAGCCATTACATTTAAACTGTTTCAATGCCAATGTGTATTCTACAAGAGAATGGTTTCATAAATTAATCAATTAAAAGTAGGTGATGGTATACACTTTTTTAATAAAATAGTAAATAAATTTTATGTAGTGAAATCTACGAAGTCTTTTCTGGAATTATTATACATACTTCAGCCTTAATTTCTCATCTTGATCTCTCCCTGATTTCCCACTTAAAGATATGTAAATCTGAGTGTGAATGTCTTCATTTAATTATGTGTCTAAAAAGTTACAGGCAGCTTAGTTCTGTCAAATAGGAGTCTTAAAAGTGGACTAGAAAAAGCCAATGTGAATTTGATGATAAAATTCCCAATTTTGTCTTCTAGCACTTTCATTGGATGTGCATTAAAGTACAGTACACTTGTGTGTTTATGATATTTGTGAACAGTAGCTGGCCATTTAAGTACTAGAAGTGCTTTCCCCAACTTTTCCCCATTTTTATTCATTTATACCTCAGAAAGCAAGAGAAAATATAATACTAGTGGTAGTAGCATTGGGTAATTGAGAGGTGAAGCAACAGAGTACCTACAGATGTTGAAGTCCTCTGATTAAGGTTTCCAGGGAGAGTCGGTTTGTACCTTTGGCCAGTGTGTCCCCCAGGGGTTTCATGGATGGGCTTCTGTGGCCTACAAACTCCTTAAAATTGTGTTCTACAATGTGCACAGGAATCTCTTTCTGGTTTTAATTCCAGAAGAGATATGAAACATATTCTTTATATCATGAAATAGAGTAAACTGAGTTAACTGTAAAAATAGATCAGTGAAATAAATGTGTACTATACCTCAATAAAAATGTTTTTAAAAATAGATAAGTGAAAGCTGGGTGTTTCTTTGCTAGGTTCCTGTATACTGAGGGAGAGTTGGTTGGTTCTACTGCAGTCACAATAATTGTTCGAAGTATACTAACAAGTGCCCTCTCAACACTTGTTAGCATAGGCTCCAAACCCAGACTAGTTAAGTAGATTCAAGTACCAGTTCTGCTAGTAACAGTTTAGAACATTGAGCAGGTTAAATAACTTCTTTCTGCCTCTGTAAAATGGGGGAAATAATACTAGCTACCTCGTAAGTCATCAATCAGTAACATGAACTCATTTCAGTAGCTAGCGCAGAAAGGCTTATAGTACTGTACTGTCGATTTCTAACATGGAAAGGTGGCACCCCTAATTTTCCCTTAGCTCTTTAAAGCCCTTTTGGAAGAATCACGTGTGTTTAGAGATCATCCGGACATGGAAATTAGAGTGTGTTAACAAATAAAACTTTGTGTTATATAATCCTGTATATGAATTCCCATCTTCATTCCTTGAAGTTGCCAAGAGCACCATCACAATCATTAATTACCTTACTAATAAAAGCAAGCTGCGCTCAAGGGTGACTCTTAACCCGTCACCGGCGAGATAATTGAGGTGAGAGGGATCTGTGTGACTTGGCATGAATACCACCAAGTTTTATGACGCCTGATCTAGTCCTGTACCCAGCAGTTCATTTAAACCTTAACGCTGACATGAACTGGTTCCCACGTGGCTTTTAGGGAAACACTCTGTGCTGTTTTAGTGTGTGTCACTTATGTGGTAATCATGTAACCAAGACCTTTGGCCTAGTTAGTCCCATTTCTCTCCCACAACCTTGAACAGTGGGTTTCACTGTTGTCATCAGACTATCAGAGAACGGAAATCGATTGTAATTGTAAGCAGTGGACAGTTTTTATTAGAATGACTTCATCACTTAAACGCTGTTTTAAAATCTAATAAAATAACCTGCTAAGAAAACAGGCTTAGGTAAGAAACTCGCTTCAAGTCAGCGACTGGCGGGGAGAGCTGGGACTGCAGCCACAGGACTATTCCATTAAAGCCTCTGCTGACCACTCCGCCCGGTTTCCCATTCGTTGGTGTTTGCTGCAGCTCTCCCGTGGGAAGCACACCCTCCTCTTGCGTCCACTCGGAAACAGTCCTGCATTCACGGATCTGCCCCACACCGTGTGTTGGGGAGGGCCGCGGTGCTGTGGGCGGGCAGAGCGACCCCTTTCTGGAGGAACAGCAGCTGGAGACCATGGCTGCACAAGCACTGCAGGGCCTGGCTTCAGTGCCTGAGTTCTGAAATTCTTCATACTTTAAGTTCTCTAGTACTGCCACTTCCAAAGAGGGAGTTCAGGGAACATGTTTACACTAAGGATGGCGTCTAAGACGATAACGTGGCTTCGCCACCGCCAGAGTGGGCTTTCACCAGGGAACTCAATCCCGCATTCCCGCACTACGCCCGCCTCGGGTTACTTGCGTGGTCGCGATCACCAGTTCAGCCCTTGGCTTCCCCGTCAATGCTGCACGCACACTCTGCAGGCGCTCGGGCAGGGGGCGGGATCGCAGCTGCGGGAACCCGAGTTACCGCGTTCACTGCGCAGCGCTGCTCGTCTGCGACCCTGAGCCAGGGAGGCGGAGAGGAACGGCCAGACGGTGTAGACCGCGTTCCGGTCCAGGGTACCGCGGCTCGGGAGCACGCGGCAGCAGCGGCGGCGGCGACCGGACGGACCAGCAAGCGTGCGCACGCGCACCCGCTCCCGCACCCGCGCGCGCGCGCCGGCCGTCGGTCACGTGCCCCGCGGCCAGGGCTCGCGAAGCCGGAAGTGGCCCGGGGCGCGAGAAGGCCTCGGGAGCCCGCTGGCGGTGGCGTGGTGGAGACCCGGCTGGGTAAGCTGGGCGGGCGCGGGCGGAGGGGGCTGAGGCGGCGCGGGGCACGGGTGGCCGGACCTGGCGCGGCGCGGCGCCGAGCGCTCCCGCCCCCCGGGGGAGGGGGTGGCTGGGATGCTGAGTCAGAGCGGGGGCGGGGCGGGCGAACTGAGGAGCCCCGCACGACCCGAGGCCGCGCCCTCTCCGAACCCGCATCGCGCGGACGCTGCCTCCCGGTGTGCGGGGCGTCGGAAGCCGGGTAGAATGGGCGCGCGTGGGCCCTGTTCCTTCCGCCTGGACCCCTTGCCCCTCAGCTGGCCCTGGGACCCGCAGCCCGGGCCCTGCGCGGTCTGGCGGCGTTGGGCGCGCAGAGGGCGAGTCTGTTGGGTTCGGGTCCGGGCCCCGGTCGCCGGGGGACAAAAGAGGGTACCGCGTTCCACCCGCTCCCGAGCGTCGCCACGATCAGCAGTTTGAACATGGATTAGTGTTTCAGATGATTACAGACAGACGTGTCGTTGGGGCTTCAAGCGGTGTTAGCCGGGCTTGACTCACACCGGAAGCCCGAAGCGGGAGACGTTTTTTAATATAAGCGGGTGAAATGCAGGTTCCCTGTGACTCCTCGCTGACATGGAGTGTGGGTTTGTTATCCAGCCCCGTTCCCAGGTATTTGTCATAAAGGGCCTTAAAACAGCTCCGCTCCAGGAATTGCCAAGCGAATAACCAAAGCTGATGCGGCTTCTGCTTAGAACCCGAACAGCGTTATCTGTTGAATAAAAGTGTTTCACAGCCAGGTAGAGCGTGAAGATCCTGGAACTCTGTCCACAGGCTGTGTCGCCAAACCTGTTTGCGTTCTTGGGCAGATGGTAACTTTCCTTTTGGACAGTGTAAAGAAGCAGGCTTAAGACAGCAGCGCGGGTGACTTGGATCTACTTGTTGAGTTAACCTCAGTGTTGCCAGCAGCCTGGGATTTATATATAGCAAGCACCTTGTGGCTGTGCTGAGTCATGTTTCAGCATGAGTTGTTGTGGGGTTCGTGGAAGATCATTTCAAAAGACATTTCCCCCGACCACTGTGGTGAAACGATTTTTCTAACTGCCTATGGAGAGCAGGTGCCTTAGCTGACAAACCTGTTTTGTGTGATCCACCAGGTACATAGAGGTTCCGGAGGATTTCTGAAAAGTTACATTGATTAGGGAAGCTTTTTCATTAGGTACTGGGGAAGCTTGTTACCTCTTGAATAAAATTCCTGACAAATGTGTATTCCCTGTATGTGAAAAGGGAATCTTTTTATCACTTATTTCCAGTAAATTGCTGTTTGTATAAATCCTTATCTGAATTAGGTGGTTGGTAAAATTATATAACTATGTAGCCAGGATGCCAGAGGCCCATTCGTTACTTCATCACTGGAATGCCTAGGGCAGCATACTCCTGCTGCTCTTTGTTCTAACTTACTGTGAAGAGGTGGTAATCCAAGTTCCCAAACTTTTTGTTGTGACGTTTCTGCAGGTTTAAGGGGGTATGTTGAGACTAGTGTTTATGCTGTGTTGGCATTCTTCACTTTTATTCTAACGTAGAACTGAAATATTTATAATATCTTCATAGTTCCATAGCTTTTCAGTATTGAAGTACAAAACTAGAGATGACGCCTGTTTTTTTAAGACCTTGTAATGCATACTTGATTTATATGCTTTTATATACTTATAAGTTGGAAAAACCATCCTTAGTTTCAAGAGAGTTAGAAAGTTTTCAGGAATAGTTATTTTTGCACCTTGGCGTTATGATTGTCAGGTTGGGTGTAGATAGAAATTTGGGGTTATGTTGTGTAGTGGAAACAGTTGTTTTCATCAATGTTGCCTTGCCCTTGAGGGAAACAAAGTAATTTTCCTATATGAGTTATATTTTTACATTATTACTTAAAACTTAAAATGTAATTTATCATTAATTAACCTTTCAAAACATTTGAAAGAGGTAAGTAGCCAGTATCACTTTCATAACTAAAAACAAAATTAGAAAGGAAATAAATACGTGCTTACATTGAATATGTAAGATGCCATTGGGTAATGGTTTTTCTAAGAGGACACTTAGCGTATTAGCCTTTAATTTGCTAGAAACTCAGATTTTTACTTTGTCCTGTTTATATATTTAGCAATAAGTGACAGTGGTCTTACTTGAGACTGAAAAGCAGCTAGGGGCCGGTGTCATGGTGTAGCAGGTAAACCCACCACCAGCATGCCATAAGGGTACGGTTCATGTCCCGGCTGCTCCACTTCCAGTCCAGCTCCCTGCTATTGTGGCTTTCTGGAGAGTGAAGCAGCTAGCATTTGTTTCCTAACTGTATTTTTTTTAAATATTTGTTTATTTGAAAGGCAGATTTACAGAGAGGCATAGGCAGAGAGAGAGAGAGGTCTTCCTTCTTCTAGTTCACTCCCCAAATAGCCGCA